CACCTCAAAGTTCAGCCATACAAAAAAATGAAATAAAGTGAAAAGTATCTGAAGTCACTTGAAACACTGTGAAATACCGGGTGCGTTTTATATATCTATATTTAACACGCTCTGTTGCTGCAAAAATCGCCAAATTTCGCAGCAAATATCCCCGTATAAGATCAAAGGCAGTTTTACCGGTCCATGTGGAGTAAAGCACGCCTATGCGTGGACATAGCCAATTCGAAAGCGTGTATTTCAGAGCTCCGAACAAGTGCAGGTGGCTACTGAAAATTGAAACAGTTTAGCCAGTGCCGTCTAGCGGTGAATAAACGTGTTTTCTTTAGTCTGTCCGTGTTTTTTCATAGATTTTATTAGTTTGTGTGTTTTTGACTTTTGAATACTCAGTTTACTTGTTGATTTAATTGTTGTGTTGATTGTTCTTGTGTGTCCTAAATATGGCTCTTTGGAGACCTTGGGAAAATGCTCCAAGCCACGAGGAGATGGTTGATGAACCTGTGCAGGCAGAATTCTTTCATAAAGATTTAGAGGAACAGACCCAAAGAGTAATCTCCTAAATATGTATGATTGTCTGAAAAACGAAAATCCAGATTCCTCGCAAAATCAAATTTTAAACAGAATTTGTATCCTGACAAAAATCGATCGGTCTACCATTTATCGGGTTATAAAAAGGCGAGATGTAGTCAACCATTCCTTCCACAGAAAGCGCATAGGGCAAACATTAAAAAGAATAGACGTGGGTTTTCAGGAAGATATTCGTCGTATAATATACGGATTTTATAAAGAAAATTTGGTGCCCACGTTGGAAATGATACGGGATAAATTAAAAGATTATCCTGAAGATTTTTATAATTACAAATGCTTAGACTCACTCCACTGTATTGTAAAACTGTGTGGTTTTCAATACAAAAAATTAGATAAAAGAATGGTGATTATGGAGTCGTCTCGAATCGTTGAATTGCGCCAAGAATTTTTGCACAAAGTTAAAATCTATAGAGAGCAGAAAAGAAATCTGATTTACCTGGATGAAACGTGGTATGATACCCATGATGTTGTGCAGTACGGCTGGGTTGACGACAGCAACAAGTGCATTTTAAATGCACCATGCAACCGTGTAAAACGAATCATTATTCTCCATGCTGGCAGTGAAAATGGATTTATACCTAATGCCTTGCTGTTATCTGCCAAAAATATCAAAGAATCATGTGCCGACTATCATGAGGACATGTCCTCCGACTTATTTGAAAAGTGGATAGAGCAGCAGTTAATACCAAACATTTCCCCAAATTCAGTGATTATTATGGACAATGCGCCATACCATTCCCGACATAAAAACAAAATTCCGAATACAGGCACAAAAAAACAAGACATTATTGATTTTATGAAGAATAAGGGAATGGAAATACCACAAAAATCAACCAAAGCCATATTATTGGATCTTATTAAAAGACAAAAATTTGAAAAAGAGTATGTTGTTGACAATCTGCTTCAGCAAAATGGCCATGAAGTATTACGTCTACCTCCCTATTACTGCATTTTTAACCCGATTGAGTTGGTCTGGGCTGCTTTAAAAAAAAAAGTAAGAAAACATAATCAGACCCCTCAATTAAGTGAATCGCTATTGGCCACAATAAGAGATGCAGTATCTCATATTGCTGCCACAGACCTATGGAAGCAGTGTTCTAGACATATTATTGGAAAAGAAAATGAATATTGTGTTTTGCCTCCTGTAAATCCCGTTGTAATTCCTCTACAAGATGACTCTAGCGACAGCTCCGAAGGCGAGGATGATATATAAATACCTATAATGTAAGTCTTTATATACCTTTTTATATACGTACCTGCTATGTAAATATTTGCCTATGTCAAACGTTGGAATTCTGTAATTTTTCCATTTCTTAACTTTCAGTCAACATAAATTAAACTCCCAATATAAGAATTTTTTATCCCAGATCAAAAAAATAAGAAGATAGTAAAATCCATTTATTGTGATATAAAAACATTATTATTATCGTTCTAAATAAATGACCGCACGCCTATGATACGTCATGAAATTACAAAGGACGCGCCGACCAAAGGTTTTTATGCTATTTCAAGTGACTTCAGATAAAGTATACTCTGTAACTGACTGATCTGTTTTTCTGATATCTACAGGGTCCGGCACTGGAACGTAACATATTTTAACGCGCCACTGCCTGACACATGAATGGATGGGGGAGTTCTGTTTACGACTGATGTGTTTGTTATTGTATGCAGTTTAGTAGCTATGGAGAATTGGCCGGTTAATCAACGCGTGTTCGCCGAGACGGCTTACATTGAAACAAAGTCTATTACGGTCCAAAGATTTCGGGCTGAGTTTAATATCCCAAGACGTGGTCGCATTCCATCGCGGAACATCATTTTGCAACGGTTTAAGAAGTGGAATGCGCATGGAACTGTCTGTGATAGGTTCGCTCGTTCTTCCCGTACTGTGCGAACGCCTGAAAATATTCGAAGAGTTGAGGAAGCAGTAACAGCCAGTCCAACACGTAAACATGCAAGGGCTCTAAACCTATCAGATCGTACAGTGGGCCGTATTTTGCGTGACGATCTTAAGTTTCATCCTTATAAAATACAGATTGTGCATCAATCATCCCCACAAGATCCACCTAACAGACTTGCATTTTGCAGGGAATTTGTAAGATTGTTGCGCGAAAGACCAGATCTGATGGATAATTTAATTATGTCTGATGAAGCTCATTTTCATTTATCGGGTTTTGTTAATAAACAAAACTTTCGATATTGGCGTGCAGAACAACCAATGCAGTTGCATGGAAAACCTTTACATGCTGAAAAAATTACGGACCGTATTTTTTTGAAGAGAACAATCGAACTGTAACCGTTACCTCGGAGCGATATTTGCAAATGCTACAAAAATTTCTTACTGCCGAATTACGTAGATTGAGAGTTGAAGATCACGAAATATGGTTTCAACAGGATGGGGCAACTAGTCATACCGCTAGAATAGTTATGCAGTTTTTAAGGAATAAGTTTCCTGGCAAATTAATTTCCCGAAATGGAGACCTTGCCTGGCCAGCACGTTCTCCTGACTTAACGGCTCCGGATTGTTTCTTATGGGCGTACTTAAAGTCTAAAGTGTATGTAAACAAGCCCCGCACACTGGATGAGCTAAAGAACAACATAACTGAGGAGATAAGAAGAATTGACATTTAAAATCTGTAATTTTTAAAAAATAATAAACTGTTAAAAACTGCATTCAATGAGTATTATTTTTCAAATTTTTACTTATTTTTACAACAAAATTGCTAATAAATACAGTGTACCGAAAAACGTCGCATGCCACTGCCGGACCCTGTATAAAATGAAATGACAGATCTAAGGCAAAACCAGACCCACCTATCGCATGTGAAATCAGAAATGGCATCTTTATCATATTCATATTTGATGTCGTCATTCAGCGTCAAAACGTCCACGTTTTCAAACTTCGTGTTGTCCCCATATGGTTCTGCATCCGGCTTTTCGGATTTAACCTCAACTACTAACTGATTCTCTGTTTTCACCTGGTTAACTCCATCCCAGTATTCATCTTTGACACTTTGAAACTCTCCGAGATTGCTGTTTACCATCAACATAATGAATAAGTAAGATTGGACTAGTTTAGTTCCTTTCGCGGCTTTTGGTGGTAACGTCAAAAAATCATATGAAATAAGTAAACATAGATAACTGGCAGCTATGTCTACACTGACAATTCAGTCAAACAAGGAATTTGAGGTTAGAAAAAATTTGAATTTCAAACTGACATTTCTCTTTTGATACAAAAATTAAATCGTGTAATGTTCAATGTAGTTGAATAGCTATGTGATAAAACTTGAAGGTTTTGAGATTATTTTTTGTTTACCTGATGCGGAAAGCACTGGCGAAAAATGAGGTCCATAACTATATTAAATGAAAAATATACATTGTAGGCTGCAAAGAGATGAAAAATACCCCCTCCACATTCAATTAATATCCAAATAAAAGTAAATCTGAACAAAAAATCCTTTCGCTATGAGCAATGGACAATGAATTCACCTAAAAAGGATTATCTTTCTAGCAACACTGCATTTATCTCTGCCTATTTTGTGAACACCCTTTTGGTTACAACTCATCTCTTTCTAATTTATTTCCCTTTGTGTTGGTATAACTTCTCTTTGGTAAAACTTTTGTGTTTCTTAAAGCAAAACATAATTTTCACTGCCCATATGAATTAAACTCAGCACAACTGGTGGGCCATTAGAACAAGTTTCTTTTGGAAAGGGGTAAATTAAATTACAAAAAATGAATAGCGTGTGACCTGGGATTAAACATCACAAAACTTTGCAGACCAGTGAAAAGATTGGTGGAATTATAAATAGGTCCACATCATACCTATCATAATCTGCTACATAGTCAGGATAAGTTTCTTCCGATTTTATGGAAGGCTTATTATCTGGTTCGAAATCAGATTCTGGATTCATATTAATACCAGGCGGCTCCCTCAAATCCGAAAGAAATTCCATAAAATCAAAAACAGCATCTAAACATAAGGTGTTTTTACTATCTCAGCTGGTTTGACAGTTCTAACCCACAAACTCTGACCACCCATCCATCTAGCAGACAGCACTGTCATTAGTGTCATTCAGCAAAAAATACCTGGATGCCAGCTGTGATTATTACAGATTCCCGTTTCTCGATACGAAACGAGTCAAGAGGAAAATCTAGTCTATTTCTCATTTTTTTATAACAGATGTTCATTTATCAGAAATATAGAGGTGAACGCAAGCTAACAGCACCTCGACCTCAGTTGAGTTATTTTTGTATTCTCACTTTAACTAGCAACCTTGTTTTGAGGTGGTGGAAGTTCGTGGTGGGAATTGGAGAGAAGACATTCTAATGTTTGCTTTTTAAACTCAATTGCATATATTTCTACATTTTAAGCTAATTTTTTGTGTTATTTATAAAAAGACATATTATTTAAATATGTTTATTTCAAATAAGTACAACATAGAACATAAAAGAACTAAATACATATAAATAATGTTAACATTTAAGTATGTATAAAAAATCGTGCTAATTTTGAATTATTGAGAACACATTATTCGCAAACAACATTAGACTAAATTTAGGAAATACACAATTTCATATATTCGTCAATAACAACCGATTTTTATAAAACGGATTTTTACTGTTTTTTTTTTTAAGTTCAAGTCGTCTGCAGGTAATTGTGGTGTTGAGTTAGACGATAGACCACTTGACCCTTTGCCCGTGACGATGCAGTGAGAAATCTCTGCTCTGCTCAGCGCAAAACGCCGAGCGGTATAAGCTAGAGAGCGTAAGGGTCTCTCTATCGTCTTCATCGTACAGGATGATAATGAGAATCAATTTGACAAAATCATTGGTAGATGACGATTGTCCGATTACGATCTACTTGCGCACAACGGGTAGTACACTGTTGGTATTACGGGGTTGCCAGACTTAGACTCCCCACTGCTACTGCTAGACACCAAAGAAATAAATTCAGGATGTTTACGTGAAATGTGTGTCACTCTTGTGTCCGTTTTCAAGTGAATAACGCATTACACTTTGTACACGGACGCTTAACTCTAGCAATTCTGCGTGCCGATAGAGGGTGGACCAGAAAGACGTACGAATTGCTCGGTGCCAGGCACGCGAGAGCGGGACACGGGTAGTGGGGATATGTAGCTCGGTGCTAGGAAATTAAGTCGCCTTGGAGCGTTTCACCGTTGCGCAGCGTGCGATCTGTGTTAAGGCTTATTACTGATTCGCTCCGAGTTTAGTTTGTATGATCTAAATCAATGTCTTAGAGAAAGTTCGAGTATACTATTTCGACAGTGAATGAGAAACCAAGGTCATTACGAACAGACGAAACTGTAAGTGCAGTTACGGCGCGATCCACAGTTATCGTCCCGAAAGAGGTCAGCTGAGCTTGCCTCATCAAGAAGATCCGTAAGACAAATTTTGGTAAAAGACCTTAAATTGCACCCGTCCGTTTGCCGAAACAATGTTTGAGCGCTTTCAAAGGTTGAACAATATTCTCTTTTCTGATGAATTTGAATGGATTCGTCAACAGGCAAAATTATCGGTATTGGGCCGCAGAAAATCCCAAATTAAAACACCAACGACCTTTGCATTCGCGTTATGTTACAGTTTGGGCGACCGTGTCGGCTGAAGGAATCATCGGACCCTATTTCTTCGAAAACGAAAACGGCCAGACTGTAACAGAAAATTCTAATCGCTACACAGCAATGCTACGTAACTTTTTCTTTCCACAACCGTCAAGATGGCGCGACATCCCAACGAATCTTTAGCAGTCGCAAACAAAATGTTTAGTGCAAAACTAATATCGAGACGAGGGACTCCTCGAAGCCCAGATCTCATGCCATTGGATTTTTTTTTGTCGGGGTATACCTCAAAAGCCTAAGCACAACATTTCCGAAGAGATGCCCGCTAACCACGAGCGATGTGTCAGCGATCTTTTAGGAATTGTCGAGATTCGATGAGTAACCGGCCTGACCTAGAGATGGCGATATGAAAAATATCATTGCATTAGAATGTATGCAACCTATAAAGCATATGTGTCAAGTTTGAAGACGCCACGTTGTTTAGTATTTGTTGGGCAGCCATCAATACTGAACGTTTTCAGTGAACGCATCACAGCTCATGCATTTGAGGAGCTTTTGACTATCATGATTTGCCATGTGCCTTCGAAACCTACTTCTTCCGGTCGTTTTGTACGCACAATGTATTCGTTCATATCTTATTAGATACTGTCCAGGCAAAGTTTCTTCTCTATATGGTTGATGAACCACCGCTTCGCTTTAAATGACTTATTGCAATGTTTGCACACGTGCAAATCAGCTCTTGTATTAGTATGTGTTAACATATGCCTGGTTAAATAATGTTTAAGAGCCGTTTTGTAATCACAGGATGTGCATCCATATACTTCAGATGAAATTGTTGCAATGGAGTCGACATGCTTCCTAATCACATGATTATCTAGTAAAATTTTGCTTTTGAATGCCGCATCACAGTTTATACACTGAAAGGGCTTTTCACTATATTTTGCCACGTGCTTCATGAAAGCATCCCTTATGGTTGTTTTGAATTCGCAATGTACACATTCATATATCTTTTTAGAAAGTGTCCCGCTAAAGTCGGGATGTTTCTTTAAAATGTGGTCAAGCAGCGACTTCTTTGCTTTAAAAGACGCATTACAATGTTTGCAGATGTGCAGATCAAGAACTTTGTTATTATTGTGTATTAACAAATGCCCGCTTAAATAACGTTTAACAACGGTTTTGTAATCACAGAATCCGCATTCGTGTATTTTAGATGAAACTGAAGCAATCGATTCAGCATGCTTTCTAATCACATGATTATCTAGTAACATTTTGCTTTTGAATGCCGCATCACAGTTTATACACTCAAAGAGCTTTTGACTATATTTTGATACGTGTTTTATAAAAATATCCCTTCTGCTTGTTTTGTATCCACAATTTACACATTCATATATCTTTAAAGAAAGTGTCCCGGTAAAGTCGGGATGTTTCTTTAAAGTATGGTGAAGCAGCGTCGCCTTTGCTTTAAAAGACGCATCACAATGATTACAGATGTGCAGATCAGGAACTTTGTTATCATTGTGTATTAACAAATGCTCGCTTAAATAACGTTTAACAACGGTTTTGTAATCACAGAATCTACATTCGAGAATTTTAGATGAAACTGATGCAATAGATTCAGCATGCTTTCTAATCACATGATTATCCAATAAGACTTTGCTTCTGAATACAGAATTACAGTTTATACACGCAAAGGGCTTTCCACTATTATGATTTGCGGTGTGCCTTGCAAAACTACTCCTTCCGGTTGTTATGAATTCGCAATGTATACATTCGTATTTCTTACTAGAAACTGTTCTGCTAAAGTTGGGATGTCTTTTGACATGGATGTTGAAAAATTTGTGGTTCCTTTTGAAATTTTTCCTTATTTGTGCACTGAAAAAAAAGAGATCAGTCAGTTCTATTCTATTTTAGCGATCTTCACTGATAATGCACAACAATAATCCACGCCAGATTCCCAGATGTAATATAAAAATTAAATATTACTTTTGAAATATCAGCATTCATAGAGCTCAAAAACATCACCTACACTCATTTTTTGTTTACAATATTCCTATTGTTAAGCTGAAAACATTGCACATTCACCTACATTATCTCTAGTCTTAACTGAAGCAGGCTCATAAAATCAGTGAAAAAATATAAATAGGTGATTGTACAGAGCATAAAAACTACTAAAGAGTCTCTGGCGATCTAAATTATTTCAATAGATACTGTCAAATGTACAAAAAGATACTTATGAAAAGCCGATTTCCAGCAGCGTGCCTCGAGGGCCTGTAAACGAGGCCTGAATGACGTTTTTTATAGGAACATAAGGCATTATTCTTGTGTTCTATATGTGCATGCCAGAAATTGTCATACGATTCTGGGACACCCCGTAGAGTTTGAGGATTAAGGAGACCTACCTATCCGACTCTGAATCGTGTCCGTCATTTTGGTCACGCTCAGTTTTAATGCCAAATTCCTGATGCAGCTCTAATGCGTCCGTATTTTCATAATTCAGAGGTGTTTTTTTTTCCAGTTTTTCAAAGTTTTGAAACCCCATTTCCATCTGGTCGACAGTATCTGCTGTCCAGTCAGCTTCAATCCCAGGCAATGATTTCTCTTCAATTTTAATACTAAAACGGTAGTGAAGGAGCCGATATACAGGGTGATTCAAAAAGGTCCCCCTCCCCACTTATGTTTTGAACGGAAGTTTGATGCATGAATACTAGGGTTGTCCAATAGGGACGTAGGAAAGTAAACGTCAATTTGACATAGACGCCATCTTTGTTTTCTGCAACCGACATGTCATTTTGTTAGTTGAATGTTTACCATTGATCGCTATGAAGTCGTATTCGATTGAAGACCGCATTAAAGTTATTCAAGAGCTATACAAAAATGGTGCAAAAATAAAAAACACGTTTCGCGCGCTTCGTGAACATTTCGGTCGCAACAACCGCCCAAACGAAACAACCATCGGTCGTCTGGTGCGTAAATTCGAGGCAACAGGTTCTGTGGCAAATCTGCCAGGCTCTGGCCGGCCAAGGAGCGTTCGCACACCGGAAAATATTGCTGTTGTGAAGGAGAGTGTGAGAGACGATCCGAAACAATCAACAACGCGTCGATCCCAAGAATTGGGCATTTCGAGAACCAGTTTGCTCCGCATTCTTCACAAGGATTTGAATGTACACGCCTACAAGATCCAATTGACGCAAGAGCTGCGTTGGGCCGACCATTTTTCGCGCCGAACGTTCTCAGATTGCCTCCTTGAACACCGCCAAATTGATGCCAATTTTTCATCAAAAATCATGTTCAGCGACGAAGCGCATTTCACTTTGAATGGGACGGTAAACAAGCAAAACTGCAGCATCTGGGCGAACGAAAATCCCCGTGAATATCAAGAGCAGCCGATGCATCCTCAAAAAGTGACTGTGTGGTGTGCATTGTGGTGAAAAGGCATCATCGGACCTCACTTTTTCGAAAATGCGGCCGGGGACGCTGTTACCGTCAATTCTGAGCGATATCACGTGATGATCGAGGACTATTTTTTGCCGCAACTTGAAGGAATGGATATGGACGATGTTTATTTCCAACAAGACGGTGCAACAAGCCACACAACCAACGTCAATATCCATCGATTGCAGTCCTTCTTCGGTGATCGCGTGATTTCGCGCAGAGGAAATGTGCCATGGCCACCAAGATCGTGCGATTTGACTCCCTTGGACTTCTTTTTATGGGGATATTTGAAAAGCAAAGTCTACGTCAACAAACCAGCCACCCTCCAAGAACTCAAAAACAACATCATTGCCGAGATAAATGCCATAGAACCGACCATGTTGCAAAATGTCATTGAAAATTTCGACCACCGCGTGGACGTCTGTAAATCCAGTCGTGGTGAACATTTGAGCGATATTATTTTTCATACATAAATGGTATAAATGAACCTTCAAAATAAAGTACCCAACTTGATTTGAATATCAATCTTTCTTGTTTTAATATGCGTTTACTTTCCTGCGTTCGTTTTGGACAACCCCATATATTTTAGCGTGTTACTTGGATATTTAAAAAAAAACGATTGGTCCCCATCTTTAACCAATTTTTTAAACAGAAATTCTGAAGTTCCGTATTGTTACTTTACAATCCTAGAATATAAAATCGCTAGCTTTCAAAAACGCTCAACTTTGAGAGTCCGCCATTCTGAAATATAGTACAATTATATTCTAGGACTATGAAGCTCCCATAAGGATCTTCAAAATCAGATATTACATTGCCCCCATTCCTTTTTAAAAAAGGTTCCAAGATCCCCTCCAACCACCACCACCACCACCACCACCACCACCACCACCACCACCAGTTGGATTTTGCAACTGCCACTTTTATATTAAAATATAGCATTGAGGAATCAATTTCATCACCTCAAAGTTCAGCCATACAAAAAATAACATAAAGTGAAAAGTACTGTGTAACTGACTGATCTGTTTTTCTGATATCTATAAAATGAAATGACAGATCCAAGGCAAAGCCAGACCCACCTATCGCATGTTAAATCAGAAATGGCATTTTTATCATATTCACATTTGATGTCGTCATTTAGCGTCAACGTTTTCAAACTTCATATTGCCCACAGATGGTTCTGCATCCGGCTTTTCGGATTTAACCTCAACTACTAACTGATTCTCTGTTTTCACCTGGTTAACTCCATCCCGGTGTTCATCTTTGACACTTTGAAACTCTCCGAGATTGCTGTTTAGCATCGACATAATGAATAAGTAAGATTGGACTAGTTTTTAAGATATATCAGTACGTGATGTACAATATAGAACATAAAAGAACTAAATACATATAAATAATGATAACATTTAAATATGTATAAAAAAATCGTGCTAGTTTTGAATTATTCAGATCACATTATTCGCAAACAACATTAAAAATTAGGCTAAATTTAGGAAATATACATATATTCGTTAATAACAACCGATTTTTATAAAACGCGTTTTTACTGTTTTTTTTTTTGTGGTGGTGTGGTGTTAGACTTAGCCTCCCTACTGCTACTACTAGACACCACAGAAGTAAATTCAGGATGTTTACGTGAAATGTGGCACTCTTGTGTCGGTTTTCAAGTAAATAACGCTTTACACTTTGTACACGGACGCTAACTCCAGCATGTTTCACGACATGCTCAGCTAAATCCTGCGTGCCAATAGAGGGTGGACCAGAATGACGTACGAATTGCTCGGTGACAGGCACGCGAGAGCGGGACACGGGTAGTGGGGATAAGTAGCTTGGTGCTCGGAAATTTAGTCGCCATGGAGCGTTTCACCGGTGAACAGCGTGCGATCAGTTTCAAGGCTTATTACAAAAATGGAGATTCGTGCACTACTTCGCGGTGTCTATCTCTCTCTCTCTGAGTTAAGTTTACATGATCTTAATCAATATCCTAATGAAAGTGTGATCAGGTCGTGAGTCAGAAAGTTCGAGTTTGCCGGTTCGACAGTGAATCAGAAACCTGCGGGGCGTCCAAGGTCAATACGAACAGAGGCAACTGTAAGGTGAATTTTGGTAAAAGACCTCAAATTGCACCCATATAAACTTCAACTAAAGCAGGAATTGATACCGCAGGACCACCATCTACGCCGTCCGTTTGCCGAAACAATGTTAGAGCGCTTTCCAAGTTTGAACAATATTCTCTTTTCTGATGAAGCTCTATTTCATTTGAATGGATTCGTCAACAAGCAAAATCCCAAATTAAAACATCAACGACCTTTGCATTCGCGTTATGTTACAGTTTGGGCGACCGTGTCGGCTGAAGGAATCATCGGACCCTATTTCTTCGAAAACGAAAAAGGCCAGACTGTAACAGTGAATTCTACAGCTTTTGACTATCATGCTTTCCCATGTGCCTTAGAAACGCACTTTTTCTGGTCGTTTTGTACGCACAATGTATACATTCATATATCTGATTAAAACCTGTCCAGCTAAAGTGCGGATGTTCCTTCAGTATATGGTTAATGTACGGCCGCTTTGCTTTAAATGCCATGTTACAACGTTTGCACACATGCAAATCAGAACCTTTTGTTTTAGTGTGCATTAACATATGCGCGGCTAAGTCACATTTAAATACGGTTTTGTAATCACAGTATGTACATTCATGTATTTTAGATGAAACTGATGCAATAGATTCAGCATGCTTTCTAATCACATGATTATCTAGTAACATTTTGCTTTTGAATGCCGCATCACAGTTTATACACCTAAAGGGCTTTCCGCTATGTTTTACCATGTGCATTATAAAAACACCCCTTCTGGTTGTTTTGTATTCGCAATGTACACATTCATATATCTTATTAGGAAGTGTCCCGCTAAACTCGGGATGTTTCCTTAAAATATGGTCAAGCAGCGATTGCTTTGCTTTAAATGACGCATTACAATTTTTGCAGACGTGCAGATCAGGAAATTTCTTATAATTGTGTCTCAACAAATGCGTGGTTAAATAACGTTTAACAGCAGCTTTGTAATCACAAAACCTACATTCGTAAATTTCAGATGAAACTGATGCAATAGATTCAGCGTGCTTCCTTATGACATGATTATCCAGTAAGACTTTGCTTTTGAATACAGAATCACAGTTTATACACGCAAAGGGCCTTAGACTATTATGTGTTGCCATGTGAGTTATAAAACTACCCCTATTGGTTTGTTTAAATGCACAGTGCATACATTCATATATCTTTATAGACACTGTCCCGCTAAAGTTGGGATGTTTCTTCAGAATATGGTTCATGAGCGACCGCTTCTTTTTAAATGACTTATTACAATGTTTACACACGTGCAAATCAGAAACATTGTTATCATTGTGTATTAACATATGCTTGGTTAAATAACCTTTAACAGCAGTTTTGTAACCACAGAGTCCGCATTCGTGTATTTCAGATGAAACTGATGCAATAGATTCAGCATGCTTTCTAATCACATGATTATCTAGTGAGATTTTGTATTTGAACGCCGCATCACAGTTTATACACCCAAAGGGCTTTTCACTATGATTATTTGCCTTGTGCCTTACAAAATTACTCTTTTTGTTTGTTTTGAATTCACAATGTATACATTCGTAAACAGATTGAGATTTTTCCAAACTCGATCCTAAACAGCTATTCTTTCTTTTGACATGGATGATGAAAAATTTGTGGTTCATTTTGAAATCTTTCCTTATTTGTGCACTGAAAAAAAAGAGATCGGTCATTTCTATTCTATTTTAGTGATCTTCACTGATAATGCACAACAATTTCAATAATCCACGACAGATTCTACGATTTATTATAAAAATTAAATTGAATGCTACTACTTTTGAAATATCAGCATTCATAGGGCTCAAAAACATCACCTACACTCATTTTTTGTTTACAATATTCCTATTGTTAAGCTAAAAACATTGCACGTTACCTATATTATCTCTAGTCCTAACTGAAGTAGGCACATAAAATCAGTCAAAAAATATAAATAGGTGATTGTACAGAGCATAAAAACTACTAAAGAGTCTCTGGCGATCTCAATTTTTTCAATAGATACTGTCAAATGAGGCTCCAGCTATATAAAATTTCGTTGAATCAAAAAAGATACTTATGAAGACCCGATTTCCAGTAGCGTGCCTCGAGGGCCTATAAAGGAGGCCTATATGACATTTTTTATAGGAACTTAAGGCATTATTTTCGTGTGCTATATGTGCATGGCAGAAATTGGCATACAATTTTGGGACACCCCGTAGAGTTTGGGGATTAAGGAGACTCACCTATGGGACGCTGAATCATGTCCGTCATTTTGGTCACCCTCAGTTTTAATGTCAAATTCCTGATGCAGCTTTAATTTATCCGTATTTTCATAATTCAGACGTGGTCCATCTTCCGCTTTTTCAAAGCTTTGAAACCCCATTTCCATCTGGTCGGCAGTACCTGCTGTCCAGTCAGCTTCAATCCCAGGCAAGAATTTCTCTTCAATTTTAATCCTAAAACGGTAGTGAAGGGCCCGATATACAGGGTGATTCAAAGAGGCCCCCCTCCCCACTTATGTTTTGAACAGGAGTTAGATGCATGAATACTATATTTTAGCGTGTTATTTGGAAATTTCAAAAAAAAACGATTGAGCTTGAACCAATTTTTTAAAACAGAAATTCTGAGGTTCCTTATTGTTACTTTACAATCCTTGAATATGAAATCGCTACCTTTCAAAAACGCTCAACTTTGAGAGCCCGCCATTCTGAAATATAGTACAATTATATTCTAGGAGCATGAAGAAAAAAGGTTTCAAGATCCCGTCTAACCGATCTGTTTTTTAGAATTTTAGAATTTAGGACCACTGTTGTTCATATTGTTTGTGAATGATTTGTGTGAATCTTTGGCTTGTTCTAAGTTAATGTTTGCAGACGACCTAAAATTTTATTCATCCGTTTCGTGCTTGGAAGACTGTGCATTTGTTCAAGGTCAAATAAATAAATTGCAAAGCTGGTGTGCCAAGAATCAACTTCATCTTAACATAAGTAAGTGTAAAGTAGTAACTTTTTCAAGGAAAACCAACCCAATGGTATATAATTATACAATGATCCAACATGTTCTTGAGCGCAGTGAAACTGTGAAAGACTTAGGTATCTACTTTGATCAACATCTAACCTTTAATGAGCATATCAATCAAATCATATCAAGTGCTTACCGAACCTATGGCTTCATTATCAGGAATTGTAAATCTTTTGACGTTTTGACTTTGCAGACATTATACTTTAGCTTGGTTAGGTATAAGCTTGAATATGGATCTTTGATATGGAGTCTGATTTACAAGCAGTATATTGATGTTGTTGATAAACTTCAAAAGAAATTTTTAAAATTTTTATGTTTTAAGATCGATGGCATATATCCTACTAGAGGTACAGAATACAACATCCTTCTTCATAAATTTGGCATTCAATCCTTAGAACAACGGCGTCAGCAATCAGCAGTTATAGTTTTATATAAATTACTGCATAATCTAATAGACTGCCCTACAATACTTTCACAAATACAGTTTCTGGTACCACGACTAACATCAAGGTATAATGTTCCTTTTTTATGTCAAAGAGCTCAAACAAACTTATTGTCGAAAGCGCCTGTCAACATGATGTGTGTGAATGCGAATAAAATAGCCGATGTATGTGACATATTCTTATATAGCATAGGTGAATTCAAGTGCAAATTGCGTGCTCACTTTTGATTTATCTTACGTTTCTTATTTTTAAGCTGTAACTATATTTATTTTTTGTTATTGATACATGAATTATTATTGTTTTTTTTTCTTAACAAGCTACCTCATGGTAATTTTTTTTTCATAGTAGTTTGCTCTGTAAATGGTGTTAAACTGTTGGGCAATAAACGCTTATTATTATTATTATTATTTTTCTGATATCTATAACACGAAATGACAGATCTAAGGCAAAACCAGACCCACCTATCGCATGTTAAATCAGAAATGGCATCTTTATCATATTCATATTTGATGTCGTCATTCAGCGTCAAAACGTCCACGTTTTCAAACTTCATGTTGTCCACATATGGTTCTGCGTCCGGCTTTTCGGATTTAACCTCAACTACTAACTGATTCTCTGTTTTCACCTGGTTAACTCCATCCCAGTGTTCATCTTTGACACTTTGAAACTCTCCGAGATTGCTGTTTAGCATCAACATAATAAAGCAGTAAGATTATTGGACTAGTTTTTAAGATATATCAGTACGTGATGTAACCCAAGCTTTACCGTCGACTTTTGGATCACAGAGCCGCTTTCCGGTGCTTTTGAATGCAGAGTTGTTTGCACCCAGAGTGTGACGCTCCCGAACCGCTCTTTTGATGTTTTGCTTTGACATTGACACTAGAAACAATGTTAATGTAAATACATTTTGCCTTTATGTTCAAAGCATTGTTCGACTACCCAATTGATGCCCGATGATGCTTTTAGAATGATGACGCAATACGTCAGAGGTCTGCATTTTTATTGTAAATCTACTGGCTGAATGTGTCGAATTCCTATTTTAGTGTAGACATTCAAAATTATGCCGCAATGAACTTGCATTCTCACACCGTCTTATCTTTATTATTCAGGAACATCTCAAAAGTACGTTTCGACTCTGGGTCAAAACATTATCAGTTTTTTAACCGTCCTCCATTGTCTGGTATCGTTTAATGTGAGTTCAATGTGAAAAAAAAACAAAAACGATGAAAAAACATAGCCTAACAATCTTGGCACATTGTCATTTTCGTTATCCCCACGCGTATAGCATGGAATGAAAAGCTGGTGCATGAGGGAGCACTGGATTTAAAAAATGACTAGCACACGTGCATGAAACTCTAGAGCAGAGAATGGTATTGACAGGTGATGGGTAGCACTGAGTTACTCTGAGTGATACAAATGAGGCACTGGAAAGCAGCTCTGGCTCACCAAAAAAAAAAACAGGGATGTATGGTTGGCAATTATATGTCTGTTTCGCTCTGCAGTTACTGACGCGGTGTTACCAAACCGACATAGAGTGTTTAGAAAATATCACAATTATACTGAGCTAAATGGAGTTTAGTTCCTTTCGCGGCTTTTGGCGGTAACGTCAAAAAATCATGTGAAATAAGTAAACATAGATAACTGGCAGCAGCGCCACCTTCAACTAGTTGAAGGTGGCGCTGCTGGCAGCTATGTCTACACTGACAATTCAGTCAAACAAGAAATTTGAGGTTAGTAAAAATTTGAATTTCAAACTGACATTCCTATTTTGATAAAAAAATTAAATCGTGTAATGTTCAATGTAGTTGAATAGCTATTTGATAAAACTTGAAGGTTTTGAGATTATTTTTTGTTTACCTGATGCGGAAAGCACTGGCGAAAAATGAGGTCCATAACTATATTAAATGAAAAATATACATTGTAGGCTGCAAAGAGATGAAAAATACCCCCTTCACATTCAATTAATATCCAAATAAAAGTAAATCTGAACAAAATATCCTTTCACTATGAGCAATGGACAGTGAATTCACCTAAAAAGGATTATCTTTCTAGCAACACTGCATTTATCTCTGCCTATTTTGTGAACACCCTTTTGGTTACAACTCATCTCTTTCTAATTTATTTCCCTTTGTGTTGGTATAACTTCTATTTGGTAAAACTTTTGTGTTTCTTAAAGCAAAACATAATTTTCACTGCCCATATGAATTAAACTCAGCACAACTGGTGGGCCATTAGAACAAGTTTCTTTAGGAAAGGGGTAAATTAAATTACAAAAAATGAATAGTGTGTGACCTGGGATTACATCACAAAACTTTGCAGACCAGTGAAAAGATTGGTGGAATTATAAATAAGTCCACATCATACCTATCATAATCTGCTACATAGTCAGGATAAGTTTCTTCCGATTTTATGGAAGGCTTATTATCTGGTTCGAAATCAGATTCTGGATTCATATTAATACCAGGCGGCTCCCTCAAATCCGAAAGAAATTCCATAAAATCAAAAACAGCATCTAAACATAAGATGTTTTCACTATCTCAGCTGGTTTGACAGATGGACAGTTCTAACCTACAAACTCTGACATCTAGCAGACAGCACTGTCATTCAGCAAAAAATACCTGGATGCCAGCATGTGATTATTACAGATTCCCGTTTCTCGATACGAAACGAGTCAAGAGGAAAAATCTAGCCTATTTCTCATTTTTTTATAACAGATGTTCATTTATCAGAAATATAAAGAGGTGAACGCAAGCTAACAGCACCTCGACCTCAGTTGAGTTATTTTTGTATTCTCACTTTAACTAGCAACCTTGTTTTGAGGTGGTGGAAGTGGGTGGTGGGAATTGAAGAGAATCTAATGTTTGCTTTTTAAACTCAATTGCATATATTTCTACATTTTAAGCTAATTTTTTGTGTTATTTATAAAAAGACATATTATTTAAATATGTTTATTTCAAATAAGTACAATATAGAACATAAAAGAACTAAATACATATAAATAATGCTAACATTTAAGTATGTATAAAAAGTCGTGCTAATTTTGAATTATTGAGAACACATTATTCGCAAACAACATTAGGCTAAATTTAGGAAATATACAATTTCATATATTCGTTAATAACAACCGATTTTTACAAAACGTGTTTTTACTGTTTTTTTTTAAGTTTAAGTCGTCTGCAGGTAATTGTGACGTTAGAGTTAGACGATAGACCACTTGACACTTTGCCCGTGGTGAGATATCACTGCTTTGCTCAGCGCAAAACGCCGAGCGGTTAAGCTAGAGAGCGTAAGGGTATCTCTATCGTCTTCATCGTACAGGATGATAATGTGAATCAATTTGACAAAATCATTGGTAGATGACGATTGTCCGATTACTATCTACTTGCGTACAACGGGTAGTACAGTGTTGGTATTACGGGGTCGTCATAAAGGACTGAGGTGGCTAAGTTGCCAGACTTAGCTTCCCCACTGCTACTACTAGACACCAAAGAAGTAAATTCAGGATTCAACTAAAACAGGAATTGAAACCGCAGGACCACCATCTACACCGTCCGTTTGCCAAAACAATGTTAGAGCGCTTTCCAAGTTTGAACAATATTCTCTTTTCCGATGAAGCTCATTTTCATTTGAGTGGATTCGTCAGCAAGCAGAATTATCGGTATTGGGCCGCAGAAAATCCCAAATTAAAACACCAACGACCTTTGCATTCGCGTTTTGTTACAGTTTGGGCGACCGCGTCGGCTGAAGGGACCATCGGACCCTATTTCTTCGAAAACGAAAACGGCCAGACTGTAACAGAAAATTCTAATCGCTACACAGCAATGCTACGTAACTTTTTCTTTCCACGACCGCATAATTTTGAAGCCTACCCTAGCAGACGTTCATCAAGATCGCGCGACATCCCATACTGCCAAAGAAGCTTAAGCAGCTGTAAACAAAATGTTTAGTGTAAAACTGATTTCGAGAAGAGGGGACATTACGACGCGTCCCCGAAGCCCAGATCTCACGACATTGGATTTTTTTCTCTGGGGATACCTCAAGAGCCGCGTTTACACGAATAAACCGATAACGATTGCCCAGCCTAAGCAGAACATTTCCGAGGAGATGTCCGCTAACCACGAGCGATGTATCAGCGTTTAAAGTCGAGATTCGAGGAATGCGTACGTCTCGATGGCCCACACCTCACTGACGTTATTTTAAAAAAATAAAATTCCCATGTGTCTATTTTATAAAGAATATAAATTATCTTCCCTACGATCCGTAGTTTTTTCTATGATTTTTTAAAATTCGCTTAATTTAATGACCCACCCTGTATTTCATTGTATTATAAAAGAAACACAATTGATTTGTAACCTTACAAAAACAAACAAACTTTTAGATAAAATAAGATAATGACTTGATTATGAATATCTGCAATGAATCCGTCCGTCTTCTTAAATATGTTCCCTGACTGCAACCATGCCTGCGATGCTTTCATGTCGGATGCGCAGTCATTAGTACGGCTATTATTAGTTACTAGACACAGAAGCAGTGAACTCAGGATGTTTCTGTAAAATGTGGTTGTCTAACGATTGTTTGCATGTAAATGACGCATCACACTTTGTACACTTGAGCCTAGCTTCAGTATGTTTCAACATATGTATAGCTAAGTGCTTCGTGTATGTAGTTTTATATTCACATTGTTTACATTCATGTATTTTACTAGATACAGAAGCAGTCAACTCGGGATGTTTCTGTAAAATGTGGTTGTCTAACGGCTGTTTGTTCGCAAATGACGCATCACACTGCGCACACGTGAACTTGGCTCCAGTATGTTTCATCATATGTGTAGCTAAATGCTTCGCGTTTGTAGTTTTATATTCGCAATGTGTACATTCATGAACCTTAGAAGATACAGAATCAGTCAACTCGGGATGTTTCTGCAAAATGTGGTGGTCTAAGGACCGTTTACACGTAAATAACGCATCACACTTTGTACACGGGAGCTTAGCTCCAGTATGTTTCATCATATGCATAGCTAAACAACGGACGTATGCAGTTTTATATTCACAATGTGTACATTTATGAATTTTAGAAGATACACAAGCAGCAAACTCAGGATGCTTCTGTAAAATGTGGTTGTCTAACGATGGTTTAAACGTAAATGACACATTACACTTTGCACACGTGAGCTTGGCATGTTTCTTCATATGCCTAGCTAAGTAGCCTGAGCGTGTGGTTTTATATTCACACTGTGCACATTCATGTATCTTACGAGATACAGAAGCAGTAAACTCGGGATGCTTCTGCAAAATGTGGTTGTCTAACAAATCTATGTTTTTAAATGCTGCATCACATTTTGTACAGGGAAGATTAACTCTAGTATGTTTCGTGATATGCCTAGCTAAGTTGTCGGCACGTGTGGCTTTATATTCGCACTGAGTACATTCGAGAATCTTATGAGACACAGAAGCAGTAAAGTCAGGATGTTTCCTTAAAATGTGGTCGTCGAAACCTTGCTTAGTTTTAAATGACGCATCACAGTTTATACACTCGAAGGGTTTTTGACTGTTATGTTTTGCCATGTGCGTTATAAAAGCACCCCTTCTGGTTGTTTTAAATGCACAATGCATACATTCATATATCTTTCTAGAAACTGTCCCGCTAAAGCTGGGATGTTTCTTTAAAATATGGTCGAGCAGCGACTGCTTTGCTTTAAATGACATATTGCAGTGTTTGCATATGTGCAGATCAGAAACCTTGGAACTAGTGTGTATTAACATATGCATGGGTAGATAACGTTTAACGACGGTTTTGTAATCGCAGAATTCACATTCATATATTTCAGATGAAACTGATGCAATAGATTCAGCATGCTTTCTAATCACATGATTATCGAGTAAGACTTTGCTTTTGAATGCCGCGCCACAGTTTATACATTCAAAGGGCTTTTGGCTATTATGATTTGACATATGCCTTATAAAACGACTTCTACCGGTTGTTTTGAATGCACAATGTAAGCATTCATATATTTTTCTTGCAACTGTCCCGCTAAAGTTCGGATGTTTCTCTAGAATATGGTCAAAGAGCGACTGCTTTGCTTTAAATGACGTATTACAATGTTTGCAAATGTGAAGATCGGAAACTTTGGTATTGGTATGTATCAACATATGCCCGCTTAGATAACGTTTAAATACGGTTTTGTAATCACAGAACGTACATTCATGTATTTTAGACGAAACTGATGCAACAGATTCGATATGTTTCCTAATCGCATGATTATCTAGCAACATTTTGTTTTTGAATACCTCATCACACTTGATACAAACATATTCATTTGGTTTCCTGAAAACAGATCGACATTTTTCCGAACTCGATCGTAAATGTTTTCCCTTGATATGGGTGACTGAACATTTCCTTTTGATTTGTGCACTGAAAAAAAAAAGAGAGGAATCATTCCTATTCCATTTCAACGGATCAACAATAGGGAGTTTTCGCATTACGTATACGTTATGTTAATCGGTTGTAGATACTTTTCGCAACAGCATGAGAAATAACGTGGACATAACCTTAAATTTGTGACCTTAAAGCTGTACCCTTCAATGCTACAACCTCAATACTTTGACGAAATGGATGATTTGGCTGCTATATGGGCAGTGAACGAGTAGTCGGAGACTGGGATTTTGCACAGTATGCTCAACAGACAAGTTCGCCGTTCGCTTGACTCCTTTCGCAGTACACATAATACAAACTTTATGAATAAAAATGAAAACCGCAGGCCAACAAATCAAGAAAAATCACCCATTAACGGCGCCTAACCTCAAATCATAAAGATCATCGCCCGATTGGTTGGATTAGTGCCCGCTATCATGACACCCACAACTGAGCATGCGTATCTGTCAAAATAACGTGCCTAGAAAATACCGCAGCACGTTAAGTGGCATGCGTAAACTCCCTATTATCACGACTCACGAGGTTATCACGTAAAAAACTCGTACAGTTATAATATAAGAAAAAACGATAAAATGTCAACTCGTTGACTAAGTAAGCTAGTGTGCGTCTGTATCGTTCCGAGTTTAGCTTGCATGATCTAAATCAATGTCGTAGTGAAAGTATGATCAGGTCGTGGATCAGAATGTTCGAGTCGGTAGATGCGACACTGAATCAGAAACCTGCGGGGTGTCAAAGATCTATTCGAACAGAGGAAACTAAGTGAAGTTGCTTCGTCCGATGTCAACTTGTAGACTAAGTAGGCTAGTGTACAAATAGTTCAATCCGCGCTTGAGATAAATGAGCGTGATTAGAATGACGTTCCAGGAACCACTTTCTGAGAATATTACAGATTTAAACTAGAGAAATAACGGAAAATTAAATTCAATCATTGTAAATTGTCACGCCTATGGCAAACTCATCTTTCACCTGCAAAATCAACTTGGGTTTATCGCTGTTTCAATTAGGGACAAAATTCGTATACGAGCCAGTTATTGGCAATGCTAACAAGGAATATGTTAACAAAATCAAGTTTTATGTATGGTAGATTTTATTTTGACACATTCTGTCATTTATTTATTTATTTTCTTTCTTTGTGTTGTGTACAAACTGTCCCAAACGTAACGTATCAATTTCAAGCACACGAAAATAATGCCACAGATTCCTATAAAAAAATGTCTATGACATCGGTATTAGAAAAAAAAAACTCAAAAAGATCACTGGTAAAATATCAACTTTTGAACAACACTGACAATGATTCAAAATAATCAACTGTATATTGCTGGGTCACCCCATAGACTCACCTATCGGACGCCTGATCGTGTTCGTCATGTTGGTTACTCTCAATTTTAATGTCAAATTCCTGATGCAGCTCTGATGCGTCCGTATTCTCAAAATTCAGAAGAGGTTTTTCTTCCACTTTTTCAAGCTCTTGAAACCCCATTTTCGTCTGATCAACAGTATCTACTGTCCAGTCAGTTTCAATCCCAGGCAAGAATTTCTCTTCAATTTTAATCCTAAAACGATAATTAAGGCGGTGTTTTAATACAGGATGGACGATATACAGGGTGAAATTGATGGTAAAATTACAGGATATGATTTCTTAGCTCATTTTAGCAAGAAAAGTTTACATATGTCCTAAAGGCTACAGGATGTTAAAGTTTAAAAAAAATCGTTTTCTTATCATAACTTTAACTCTGTTCTAGATATTTTCACGCACTTGTAGCGTAACGAAATTATTTTGAACTAGTAGGTCCCCATTTTTGTTTTTAAAATAATGACATTTGATTGATTATGTTGCGGTCATATCTTGACAAGTATTCATATAAACGTGATAGATTTTTACGTAGTAAAAGTTTCATTAATCAATAATAAAGAGAAAATAAGTAAACTATATACAATAAATATATAAATATATATATATATATATATATATATATATATATTAAGTAAGCTTTTTAAAAAAGGTTCCAAGATCCCACCTCACCGCCATATAGCATTTTGAAGCTGCCACGTTACGTTAAAATATAGTATTGCCGCATCAATTTCATCACCTCAAATTTCAGCTTCTTAATTTGACCCGTACAAAAAATAAATAAAGTAAAAAGTACCGTATAACTGACTGATTTGTTTCCCTGATATCTATAGAATGAAATGACAGATCTACGGCAAAATCAGACCCACCTATCGCATGTTAAATCAGAAATGGCATCTTCATCATATTCACATTTGATGTCATCATTCAGCGTCAAAGTGTCTATGTTTTCAAACTTCATGTTGTCGACAAATGGATCTGCATCCGGCTTTTCGGATTTAACCTCAACTGCTAACTGATTCTCCGTTTTCACCTGGTTAACTCCATCCCAGCATTCATCTTTGACACCTTGGAACTCTCCAAGATTGCTATTTGCATAAACATACTAAATACGTAAGACTGGACTAGTGTGTGTTGTAAACAAAACTTTGCGGTCGGGATTATTACTGGTTTACAATAGAAAAAAAAACAGCGATCTATGGTCCGCTAGGATCCGCGTGTTTTACTCTGCAGTGTTGCCAAACTGTCAAAATGTTTAGAATATGCGCTACATTTATGCTGAGCAGAATGGAGGTGTTTTTTTGTTCAAGGAAATAAGGAAACATAATAACTCTTAAGGCGAAACTGTCTTTATAAATGGCAACTATATCACTGATGTAACATATGATGAATATATCCACCGGGAATAAACGTCCAAACAAAAGTAAATTTGAAAAAAAAGAAAATGCTTTCATTATAAGTGATGGACAAAAAAGAATTATCTATCTGGCAACACAGCATTTATTTATGACCAAACAAGAACAGCAAGTGTTTAGACAATGATTAACATAGTATAGCCATTGTCCTACCCAAAGATTTCCAACCTAATATTATATCCAAGATGAAATGATATACTGTAGCATCATCTAAGAGAATTTGTCACAACCATGCAACAATTGGAAAAATACTTTGGATTTGTTAGTGTCTCATAGATGGTGCTGCAACCAACTATACAGAATGTATGTATATGTGTTGACTAAAGGCAAGGCTAACTTAGGTGTAGAGCATAAGACTAAAGAATGGATAGTCTGTGTCATGGGGTTGAATATTTCACGGAATCTTGCAAACCAGTGAAAATATTGATTTAATTATAAATGAGTCCACATCATACCTATCATAATCTGCAACATAGTCAGAATAATTTCCTTCCGATTTTATGAAAGGCTTATTATCTGGTTCAAAATCAGTTTTTGGCTTCATACTAATGCCAGACTACTGATTAATGCCGAGAGATCTAACTGCAAAAAAGCGAGGCGACAAGGAATAAAATAATTCTCACAATGATTATCGAAAGACGTCAAATCTGAAAGAAATCCCGTTAGTTATCAAAAAGTAACAAAACATCACGTCTCTATTAGATTAAAGTTTGTCTTTTATTATTCCCTATTTACGTTTGACAGTTTTGACCACACAACAGCTGAGTTTTGACTCTCCGATCATACGAAAAGCGCTATCTAGCGGAGGCACAATCAACACTGTTGCCGCCGTTGAATAAATACCTAAATGCGGTGATTCCAGATTCACGTTTCTCGATACGAAACGAATCGGGAAATATATAGTCTAGTCAACAATTATTTTAAGGTTTTATGAACATGCACAACTGCAAACAACACAAAACTTTGGCATTATTAATATTTAATCATAGACTTACCGTCAACACATAACTGGATCAGTTTTGTAAAGTCCGCCAAACACTGTTGTTACATTTTCAAATTCTAGTATTTGCTTTTTGTAGTACAATTATATACACTGCTTTATTTCAAACTAAATGTTTGTTTTATTAATAAAAAGACGTGTATTATTTAAATGTTTATTTCAAATACAATATGAAATGTACAATATAAAAGAATTAAATAAATACAAATATTGAAAAAAAATTAAACAGTGCTGGAAAAAATCGTGAGATCACATCATCCTCAAACAATTAAAGCATAACATATATGTGACATTAAGAAATATATACGCCGATTCCACATAAATAAATACTAAATAATAAAAATATATATTCATTCATAACATTAGCTAGTGCGGATCATGGATCTGCGAGAGCGAGAGCTGGTTGATCGTTTTTGTTCAACTTTAAAAGTTTGCTCGTACAGTGGTCGGTGACTTTGTATAGCGGTCCGACTTCCGTGTATACTAGAGTAACAGAGTGAACGTGATTTTGTGGCTTGGCCTTGGACACGGTCACTGACGGTTTGGCGACTGCTGTGCGAACAGGACTTATGAGGTTAGAAGAAGTAAACCCCCAACCGAACCGAACTCGATGTTGCCAACGAACTTGGTTAAAATACGTCACGCACCAAATCGGTGCTAGATCATCATAGGTGGAGCAGCTGGTTTATTCAATAATCAGATATGAGCAGATGGCTTGTGGAGTAGTAAAAAGGGTCAAAGGTGGCTTAGTCGCTAGACTGCGGCTTTTTACTACTACTAAAAGACCCAAAACCAGTCAACTCGTGATGTTTTCGCGAAATGTGGTAGTCTAATGTTCGTTTACACATAAATAACGCGTCACACTTTGCACACGAAAATTTAACTCCAGTATGTTTCACGATATGGTCAGCTAAATGCTGAACGTGAGTAGTTTTATATCCACAATGTGTACATTCATGTATCTTACTAGATACGGATGCAGTAAACTCGGGGTGCTTCTGTAACATGTGATTATCTAATGTCCGCTTATATATAAATGACGCATCACACTTTGTACACGTGTACTTGGCTCCAGTATGTTTCGTCGTATGATTATATAAAGCACTTGCATATACAGTTTTATATTGACAATATGTACATTTATGTATCTTATGAGACACAGAAGCAGTCAACTCTGGATGTTTTTGTAAAATGTGGTTGTCTAACGATTGTTTGCTTGCAAATGACGCATCACACTTTGTACACGTGACATTACCTCCCGTATGTTTAATCATATGTCCAGCCAAATATATCGCTTTTGTAGTTTTAAATTCACAATATGTACAATTATGTGTCTTAGTAGACACAACAGCAGCAGACTCGGGATGTTGCCGTAAAATGTGGTGGTCTAATGACCGTTTAGACGCAAACACCGCATCGCACTTTGTACACGGGAGCTTAGCTCCAGTATGTCTCATCATATGCATAGCTAAACAGCGGACGTATGTAGTTTTATATTCACAGTGTGTACATTCGTGTATCTTACGAGACACAGAAGTAGTAAATTCAGGATGTTTCCGTAAAATGTGATTGTCTAATGCTGGTTTCCTCGTAAATGACGCATCGCACTTTGTACATGTGAGCTTAGCCGGAGTATGCTTCATGATATGCCTAACTAAGGAGTATGCCACTGTAGTTTTATATTCACATTGTGTGCATTCGAGTACCTTACGAGACACAGAAGCAGTAAGCTCAGGATGTTTCTGTAAAATGTGGTTGTCCAACAAAAATTTGTTCATCAATGACGCGTCACACGTTGCACACGTGAGCTTAGCTCGAGTATGGTTCATGATATGCCTAGATAAGCAGTATGTGTATGCAGTTTTATATTCACACTGTGTACATTCCAGTATTTTGTGTGACCCAGAAGGGATTAACTCCGCATGTTTCTGTAAAGTATGGTCATCAAATCCTTGCTTAGTTTTAAAAGACGCATCACACTTTATACAATCGAAGGGCTTTTGACTATTATGTTTTGTCATGTGCCTCATAAAGGTGCTCCTTCTGGTTGTTTTCAATTGGCAATCTACACATTCGTATATCTTTCTAGAAACAGTCCCGCTAAAGTTGGGATGTTTATTGAGAATATGGTCCAGGTGCGATTGCTTTGCTTTGAAAGCCATATTACAATGTTTGCAGAAGTGCAAATCAGAAACTTTGGTATTAGTATGTCTTATCATATGCCCGGTTAAATAACGTTTAATAACGGTTTTGTAATCACAGAATGTACAATGATGTATTTTAGATGAAACTGAGGCAATATATTCGACATGTTTTCTAATCACATGATTATCTAGTAACATTTTGCTTTTGAATACCTCATCACATTTCATACAAACATATTTATTCAGTTGGTACAGGCTCCTGGAAACAGATTTTGATTTTCCCAAACTCGATCCTAAATAGCAATTATTTCTTTTGATATGGATGATTAAACCTCTCTTAGAACGATTGCTATAGTTACAAATATAGCAGCTAAACAACTGTTTTTCTTCTTGGATCTGTGAATATCTGTGTTCAATTTTGGACTTTTTCATTTGAACACTGAAAAAAAAAACAGATAAATCATTCTGTTCTATGTTAATAAATATAATGATATAATAATAAAATAACAGAAATTTATTATCATGTAGTACACTCTCCTAAGACAGCTTCTGTCCAAAAAAGGAGAACAGCGTTATTTGGCATGCTCCAATATTGGATGAAACGATCGTCATGAAGCCAAAAATGACACGTTTTAGACGATCCGCTAGCACGCACTTACTTTTGTAATGTAATATGTTCATACCTACAATACCCCGCCTAACAGCATTAATGTTAGGTAATTTTAGATATTCTTAAAGCTCGGAATATATTCAAAAATGTTTATATGTATGTCCAAAAAAGAGGACAGCGTTATGGGATATGATCGAATATTGGATGAAACGTTCGTCATGAAGCCGAATATGAACCGCTTTGGACGATCCGATAGCACGCACTAACTTTTATAATATGTTCATACCTACAATACCCTGCCTAAGAGCGTTATAGTTCGGTATTTTTAGGCATTCTCGAAGCTCGGAATATATTCAGAAATGGTTATTCTTATGTCCAAAAAAGGAGGACAGCGTTATGGGATATGATCTAATATTGGATGAAACGTTCGTCATGAAGACGAATATGACCCGCTTTGGACGATTCGCTAGCACGCACTAACTTTTGTAATATGTTCATACCTACAATACCCTGCCTAAGAGCGTTATAGTTCGGTAATTTTAGGCATTCTCGAAGCTCGGAATATATTCAGAAATGGTTATTCTTATGTCCAAAAAAGGAGGACAGCGTTATGGGATATGATCGAATATTGGATGAAACGTTCGTCATGAAGCCGAATATGAACCGCTTTTGACGATCCGCTAGCACGCACTAACTTTTATAATATGTTCATACCTACAATATCCTGCCTAAGAGCGTTATAGTTCGGTAATTTTAGGCATTCTCGAAGCTCGGAATATATTCAGAAATGGTTATTCTTATGTCCAAAAAAGGAGGACAGCGTTATGGGATATGATCTAATATTGGATGAAACGTTCGTCATGAAGACGAATATGACCCGCTTTGGACGATTCGCTAGCACGCACTAACTTTTGTAATATGTTCATACCTACAATACCCTGCCTAAGAGCGTTATAGTTCGGTAATTTTAGGCATTCTCGAAGCTCGGAATATATTCAGAAATGGTTATTCTTATGTCCAAAAAAGGAGGACAGCGTTATGGGATATGATCGAATATTGGATGAAACGTTCGTCATGAAGCCGAATATGAACCACTTTGGACGATCCGCTAGCACGCACTAACTTTTATAATATGTTCATACCTACAATACCCTGCCTAAGAGCGTTATAGTTCGGTAATTTTAGGCATTCTCGAAGCTCGGAATATATTCAGAAATGGTTATTCTTATGTCCAAAAAAGGAGGACAGCGTTATGGGATATGATCGAATATTGAATGAAACGTTCGTCATGAAGCCGAATATGACCCGCTTTGGACGATCCGCTAGCACGCACTAACTTTTATAATATGTTCGTACCTACAATACCCTGCCTAAGAGCGTTATAGTTCGGTAATTTTAGGCATTCTCGAAGCTCGGAATATATTCAGAAATGGTTATTCTTATGTCCAAAAAAGGAGGACAGCGTTATTCGGAATGATCCAATATTGGAGCATCGATCGTTATGAAGCCGAAAATGACACGTTTTAGACGATCCGCTAGCACGCACTTACTTTTGTAATGTAATATGTTCATACCTACAATACCCCGCCTAACAGCATTAATGTTAGGTAATTTTAGATATTCTTAAAGCTCGGAATATATTCAAAAATGTTTATATTTATGTCCAAAAAAGGAGGACAGCGTTATGGGATATGATCTAATATTGGATGAAACGTTCGTCATGAAGCCGAATATGAACCGCTTTGGACGATCCGCTAGCACGCACTAACTTTTATAATATGTTCATACCTACAATACCCTGCCTAAGAGCGTTATAGTTCGGTAATTTTAGGCATTCTCGAAGCTCGGAATATATTCAGAAATGGTTATTCTTATGTCCAAAAAAGGAGGACAGCGTTATGGGATATGATCGAATATTGGATGAAACGTTCGTCATGAAGCCGAATATGAACCGCTTTTGACGATCCGCTAGCACGCACTAACTTTTATAATATGTTCATACCTACAATATCCTGCCTAAGAGCGTTATAGTTCGGTAATTTTAGGCATTCTCGAAGCTCGGAATATATTCAGAAATGGTTATTCTTATGTCCAAAAAAGGAGGACAGCGTTATGGGATATGATCTAATATTGGATGAAACGTTCGTCATGAAGACGAATATGACCCGCTTTGGACGATTCGCTAGCACGCACTAACTTTTGTAATATGTTCATACCTACAATACCCTGCCTAAGAGCGTTATAGTTCGGTAATTTTAGGCATTCTCGAAGCTCGGAATATATTCAGAAATGGTTATTCTTATGTCCAAAAAAGGAGGACAGCGTTATGGGATATGATCGAATATTGGATGAAACGTTCGTCATGAAGCCGAATATGAACCACTTTGGACGATCCGCTAGCACGCACTAACTTTTATAATATGTTCATACCTACAATACCCTGCCTAAGAGCGTTATAGTTCGGTAATTTTAGGCATTCTCGAAGCTCGGAATATATTCAGAAATGGTTATTCTTATGTCCAAAAAAGGAGGACAGCGTTATGGGATATGATCGAATATTGAATGAAACGTTCGTCATGAAGCCGAATATGACCCGCTTTGGACGATCCGCTAGCACGCACTAACTTTTATAATATGTTCGTACCTACAATACCCTGCCTAAGAGCGTTATAGTTCGGTAATTTTAGGCATTCTCGAAGCTCGGAATATATTCAGAAATGGTTATTCTTATGTCCAAAAAAGGAGGACAGCGTTATTCGGAATGATCCAATATTGGAGCATCGATCGTTATGAAGCCGAAAATGACACGTTTTAGACGATCCGCTAGCACGCACTTACTTTTGTAATGTAATATGTTCATACCTACAATACCCCGCCTAACAGCATTAATGTTAGGTAATTTTAGATATTCTTAAAGCTCGGAATATATTCAAAAATGTTTATATTTATGTCCAAAAAAGGAGGACAGCGTTATGGGATATGATCTAATATTGGATGAAACGTTCGTCATGAAGCCGAATATGAACCGCTTTGGACGATCCGCTAGCACGCACTAAGTTTTATAATATGTTCATACCTACAATACCCTGCCTAAGAGCGTTATAGTTCGGTAATTTTAGGCATTCTCGAAGCTCGGAATATATTCAGAAATGGTTATTCTTATGTCCAAAAAAGGAGGACAGCGTTATGGGATATGATCGAATATTGGATGAAACGTTCGTCATGAAGCCGAATATGAACCGCTTTGGACGATTCGCTAGCACGCACTAACTTTTATAATATGTTCATACCTACAATACCCTGCCTAAGAGCGTTATAGTTCGGTAATTTTAGGCATTCTCGAAGCTCGGAATATATTCAGAAATGGTTATTTTTATGTCCAAAAAAGGAGGACAGCGTTATTCGGAATGATCCAATATTGGAGCATCGATCGTTATGAAGCCGAAAATGACACGTTTTGGACGCACGCACTTACTTTTATAACATGTTATGTGTCATATGCCAAATAGGTGTTCATAATCGCGATCGCTGATGCGAAGTAAATGTTGGTAACCAGTTACGTAAATGTATGCTAATCCAATCCTATAAACGATATACTTTGTTTTGATCCGTGTGGAAGCGTGCGTGTCTGCGGATTTTATAAAAATAAAAAAGCGATGTCAGTCGGCGATTAGTTTCTTGTTTTGCAGATTGCCTACTTTTCCGGTAGCGTATTTTAGGGGCCTGTATCTTCGGAAGCGAGCCCGGTACGACATTTTTTATATAAACTTACTTTTGTGTTCTATATGTACACAAAAAATTGACATAGACTTCGAGGATCAAGGGAGACTCACCTCTCATGTCCGTCATTTTGGTCACTCTCAGTTTTAATGTCAAATTCCTGATGCAGCTCCAATGCGTCCGTATTTTCAAAATTCAGAGGTGGTTTTTCCTCCAGTTTTTCAAACTCTTGAAACTCCATTTTCGTCTGGTCAACAGGTTCTGCTCTCCAATCACCTTCAAGCACAGGTTCTAATTTCTGTTCAGCTTTGATTCTGAAACGGCAACGAAGAGGGCTTTTCAATACAGGGTGGCCAATTTACAGGGCAGTTCAAAAATGTCCTCCTCCTTATTTACGGCGAATATGCACGAATATATACGTAGAAGTGTTACATCCAGAAAAAATAATTTCTTCAGGTTGTTTTTTGGCAACATAAAGACTATATTTAAAACATGCTGTGGCAACAATGTCAAGGTTTTACTTTTGTTCACCTATGTTAAAATGTTATCTCTTAGTTTTTGTGAAGAAAGCAGTTTCTGAGAGCTGAGTAGTACAGATATTTTTAGTTATTGCTCTTTCATTTACTAGTGCATAACAAAATGCCTCGTGTGCGAAGGCGTATTATCAATTAGTAAATTTTTCTTTTCGACTGGGAAACCGAGCTAAACGACCTGGCAACCCTGTTGGATTCGGTTTCGGGGAATGACACACACATGACACACTTTAGTATTGATGATAAACATTATAGTTTAAAACAATGTATTTGACAATCTAGTCATCCGTTTGAAAAAAGCAAACATCACTTTGGGGATTGTAGAAAAACACTTAGATTTCCGGCATTGTTCCGTATCGAAAGGTTTCGATACTTGTGGTATCGATATTTTTATTCCGATATTTTAGAATATCGATACTTCCTAAAACGATACGAATCGATATATGGTATCGATACTTTTTGCTGGTCGAAACATCCCAAGTCATATTCTAGGATTATAAATGGCATCAACACGAGATATCACATTGCCCCCATTCCGTTTCAAACGCCATTACGATTTTGCCACTTCCACTTTTACGTTACAATACGGTATTTAAAAGTACTGTAATAAAATAAAAGAAAAGCAAACTCGGACCCACCTATCCCATGTTGAATCAGATCCGGCATCTTCATCATATTCGTATTTGATTTCAAACTCCTCGTTCCGCGTTGAAGTGTTCATGTTTTCAAACATCATGTTGTCCATAGATCGTTCTCTATCCGGTTTTTCGGATTTGACCTCGATTGCTAACTGATTCTCCGTTTTCGCCTGGTTAACTCCATCCCAATTTTCATCTGTGACACTTTGAAACTCGCCGAGTTTGCTGTTTAGCATCAAAATACTAAATAAGTAAGTTTTGACTACATATTCACACTTGGAATAATAATATAAAAAAAAACAGCGCTCATAGACCGTCCTTGGTTTGGTAATTTGTTCACAGATGGCTGGACATTCAGCAGTTACCGATGCGATGTTGCCAATCTGCCATAAGATGTGTTTAGTTCCTTTCACGGTCTTTGGAGGTTATGTCATGAAGTGAAATGAGCAAACTTATTGCCGTACGGATAGTTTGTCTAGATAACTGGCAACTACGTTAAATATACTCGCGAAAAGTGTGATTTATAACTCTAGTGAATGAAAAATATATTGCGCAGGCTGCAGATGGATAATCAATTTCAACAAAAAATCTTTCACTACGAGTAACGGAATTCATCCAAAGCTGATAATCTATCTGGCAACACCGCATTTATATCTGACCAAATAAGAACAGCACTTTGGTAAAACTTTTGAAGTTCTTGAAGCAAAATATTATTTTCGTCATCCCTATGAATGAATCTCGGTGCAACTGGTTGTCAATTGTGCAAGTTCTTTAAAAAAGGATTGAATTAAAAGAATTTATAGATTAAAAGAAAAATGTTGGAGTCCATATAACCCCACTTTTTATAAACATATAGGTTTTGCTTATTCTCTTTTCCAGGAGTACAATACTAGCTGATTATTTAGTAATATTTCAAAATTCCCCATATCGGCAAATGACATAATTCTAATAGATCCTTCAACTGTTTTATTTAGAACAGTCCATTTGAATAAAAAAAAGAACCCTACAAGCAAGTTTTACACCAGATTCATTCTTGCCAATGTTAGAGAGTAATGCAAATATGTCACTAGCTGATCGGCTGTTCATCTCAGTAGACGTCAAAATGTGATGGGTAATCGTGAAATAGGGTTTAAAACAAGAGCACTAACGTGGCTGTGGCAATTGATAGCCCGTGACCTGAATTACAGGTTTATTTTATAAATTGCTCAGTATCATACCTTTCATGATCTGCTTCGTAGTCAGGATAATTGTCTTCCGACTTTATGAAAGGCTTATTATCTGATTCAAAATCACTTTTTGGCTTCATATTAATGCCAGACTGCTCGCTTTAATGCTGAAAGAACATCCAAATGCAAAAAAAAAGCGCCAAGAAATAGAATAATTCTCACAATGATTATTTATCCAAAGATCTCAAATGTAAAAAAATCCGGCGAGTTGTTTAAAAATCAAAAATCACCTCCCAAACATATAAACAACAAAACATCACTTCTCAAGAAAATTTTGTTTGTCTCCCTTCTAAGTTTGACAGTTTCGATACAAGCGCCGCCTAGTGGCTAGAGGAGCAAAATCCGACATCGCAGTCGTTGGATTAACGCAGATTCCCTTTTCTCGATACAAAACGAGTCGGGGAATAGCTATATAGCGGAGGACATCAGTAACAAATAGTGCACGTTTACATCAAACGCGCTTCGCTTGGAGCTGTGCGCTTTGCTTTACAGCCCAGTAGGAAGCGAGAGGAACGACAACACAGCTTTAAATGAATGTGTTCAGACCGCGCGCATGGCGCTACGCGCTGTGCCTTACGTTATACTATGCGGAGCGGTGGAAAACGCGATGTGTTGGTTTTGCGTTGCGTTTTGCCTCGCTTGTTCAGACAACTCCGAGGGTTATCTGCATAAACACAATGGAAGAAGAAATTATCACCGCCGTTTTTAAACGAGAGGCAATATGGAATCCGAAGCATGCGTTGCATAAAAATGTATACGCGTTACAAAAAATGTGGAAAGAAATAGGAGACGAAGTTGGAAAAGATGGTGAGTTCATATTATGTTTTAACTAGGGATGGATATAATATATCAACTTTTAGAATGTGTCGATGTCTTCTTTTTGTTGTCCGTATTTTTGCATCGGTTTTGGTTTCCATGTATAGGGGCGTATTCGTGTTTTTATTCTATGTATAAGTGGTTTGCGATACGTCATCTGTATAAACCATCGTGTGTATGAGGTAGTAGCAGTTTTAATTTTTAAGGCAGAGTAGTTAAAGAACAAAATAATTAGGGAATAGAAACTCAAAGATAATACTATATAATACATTTATTGTACGAAAGAAAATTGATTCTGCCACTCAACTGCACCAGTAGTCACAAAATAATTTGTTAATATTTCTCTGGTTCTCTTTGCATCTTCGGAAAAGCGATACTGGGAGTGTGTGTAGGTACTCGGATTAATATCGCCGCTAAAGCCCGTCTGACATTCCTTATTTGTCTTAAATCCCTCCTGTTCTATAACAAAATTGTGCAAAATACAAATGGCCTTTACAATATTTATAGCTGTCTCAATTTTTGTTTCGATAGGTTTTAGTAAAATTCGCCATTTGCCACTCATTATGCCAAATGCGCATTCAGCACATCGCCGGGCTCTGGAGAGACGATAATTAAAAATTCTTTTTGAATTATCTAAATTTCTTCTAGGATATGGCCTCATTAGGTATGGAAGCAGAGGGTAAGCTTCATCGCCTACTATAACCAATGGGGCTTTTATATTTGTTTGTGGTAAGCATTGATCAGGTGGGACGTCAAGCTCTTTTCTGTCTAATGCTCGAAAAAGCGACGAGGACCTAAAATTTCCTCCATCGCTTTGGCGTCCAAAACTCCCAATATCAACCGCAATTAATTTACAGTCAGCATCAACTAGGGCTTGAAGTAATATTGAAAAATATTGCTTATAATTATAGTATAGAGATCCGGTATTGGAGGGACATTTAACTTCAATATGTTTGCCGTCAATACTGCCTATGCAATTTGGAAAATTCCATTTGGTCCAATATTGTTGTGATTTATTGTGCCACGTTGCTTGTGTAGGTTTTGGTAGGTAATCACTTTTCATGGTATCCCATATTACCATGCATGTATGATTTACAATATTTGAAACTGTTGCCACCCCCAATCTGAAGTGTAGAGCTAGGGATCGATAGGATTCTCCAGTAGCAAGAAATCTGCAACAAACATACATAAAATATGCTTGGTGTTAATAGCAATTTTTGTTTCAGTTCAAACTGTTAAAAATAAATGGAAATACTTGAGGGACTACTTTAACAGAGAAACAAAAAAGTTAGAAAAACCCAGATCAGGCAGTGGAGCAAATGAAGCTGTAGCAAGTCCTTGGCAATATTATTCTCTTTTGTTATTTTTAAAAGACCATCTGCAAACCCCACTGAGGGATGCAAATATAGAAGCGGAAAGGGTCACAGAAGATATTGACTTAGAATATAATGATATACAGGACGTAGAGTCGCAAGATTCTGACAATGTTTTGTCACCGCCATCGACCAGCAGTCAAGCACCTTCAAGGTCTGCAAGCCGATTATCTTCTACTTCTGAAACTCGGAAGGGGGCGCAGAAGCGAAAGAAGCAACTGGCAACAGAAAACGACAATAGCGAACTAATAATGTTAGAAAAACGGAAACTTGAGCTCCTAGAGTCTGAATCACTTAAAGAAAATGATGATGATCTTTTGTTCCTAAAGAGTCTTTTGCCATACATGAAGAGTCTTCCTGCTTCAAGAAGATTACGTCTAAGATTAAAGTTTCAGGAACTGCTTCTTCAGCAAGTTGAGGAGCATGAAAGTGAAGTTTCACAAAATGTTTGTGGACAACCTCCGGCACGTGTCTTTACCTTCCCCGCTCCCTCAAGTTCCGCTTCGGACAATCATACATACCATCATCACATACCGATACAGTCAACACATCCGGATCCGACCACACACAATGTATCTGAAGGTAGTGAATTGGACACCCCTATGCGAAGTTTTTTTTCAGGATATAACGCGTAACATTTTTATTCGGACAAATGTATTTTTTAATAAAATAAAACTCAGTTTTTCATAAACACTATAATTTTATTTTGGCTTACCTCAATGTTATAACCAAACGTTGTTCTGCTGAAATCCTTTCACGGAAATTGGTTCCAATCCCACATAAATAAGGATCCAAATGGCTTAGGAGAAGGTCGAAAGATTCCTTTGACATCCTCAAGTATTCATAAAATTTTTCTGGATATTTTCTGGCATCTCGATAGAGGTGATAGAATTCTCCGAACGATTTCCTACATATATTAATCTCATGCACCCACGATCGTTTTAGTTTTTTTCTATTCACTTTCAACGCAATACTTTCGAGTAGTAATATCTTCTTAACTCGTGAAGGAGCCATGGTGAAATGCTTGGAAAATGCGTCTTTAAATATAAAGTGTGTTTTAATAACAGTCGAGGTATGAAAAGCGAAGCGCCTCCGATATGAATGAACCCGAACGCATAGAGGTTCGCTTGACATGAAGTGAGGCGCACAGCTCCAAGCGAAGCGCGCTCGATGTAAACGTGCCCTTACTCTATATGCTATACTCGTACGCAGTGTTGCCGAACCTGCCGATTTTTCAGTATGTCTACCGAAATGAACATTCCGAAAAACGTACGCAGACAAATTTGGTTCTGTGTAATTATAGGATAGATACTAAAAAAAATTTATTCAATAAAAAACAGCATTATTTTTAGAACTTATGTTCTAAACAACAAAACAGTTCATTTTACCTATTAAAACACTAATAGATTGTTTTTCATGATTTTATTAACATTATTAACAATGATTTTGACTTAAAAAGTTCTTTCAATCCCTGCCGTAGATGCCGTTGCAGTGTACAACTGTTCACATAATTTTAAAAATGCATCGTCTGTCCAATTGGGCTTACTTTTGTTGTAAAAACCATAACAAATGGAACAAAAGAATTGTTAAGTACTCAGTACTCAGTAGAAGTTAGATGTGCCAAAAATCGATGATCCATGATGTTTGTGCCAAGTGCCATATTTTTTTCTTTTGAAAGAACTTTTTCCAATTGGAAGTGGCTATTCAGGCAAATCCATTTCTAACTTGTCAGAAATAATGAAAAATAATTATTTTTTCAATGAATTGAGACTATTTTCAAAACGATTGCGCATGATCGTAAGACGTTACGCTGATTCGCTATCACTTCGCGACTGAAAGATCGAAAAATCGCAGATCTGCAAACACAATAAAGATAGCTAAACCAACCGGCCAATGTACAACTTATTATTCTGCCGTTTCTTTGTGTTCTGTGGCTCAGCGTAGATGCAAAAACGAAAAAGCTGCAGTAAAATATAATTGTTATATAGCAGTGCTCAGTTTCTCGTAGCTAAACATGGAACAAAATGCCCCCAAACATACTCTACGATTTTATTTTCCCCTAGAACATTACATCGCCCAAGAGAAGTAAAAATCCCCCACTATGGCAACGCTGTACCAAAACAAATCACGCCACGCGCCGGGATACACCAGATCTGAAACAGGGGATTCCCTGCTCGGCAGCCGAATGGGTCGATGTTATGAAGAAAACGAAACATTTCTAATTCTAATAAAATGAATAAAATTATCGAATATACATTACTCGATATATATATATATATATATATATAATTTGTTGTCGTCAAGTAGCTAAATAAAAGTCAAAGCCTTGCTCTGCAAGACCTTGAAGGGTATTTAGAGATTTGTTTTTCAGGTAAAATTTACGAACTTTCGGTTTTCGCAGACTGTGTGTGTTTCATCATATGCCTATCTAAACACTGCGCATAAGTAGTTTTATATTCACAGTGTGTACATTCATATATCCTACAGGACACAGAAGCAGTGAGCTCGGGATGCTTCTGTAAAATGTGGTTGTCTAATGCTATTTCTTTCATAAATAACGCATCACATTTTGTACACGTGAGCTTAGGTCCAGCATGTTTCATCATGTGCATAGTCAATTGACGCACATACGTTGTTTTATATTCACAATGTGCACATTCATGTATCTTACGAGACACAAAAGCAGTAGACTCGGGATGTTTCTGTAAAATGTGGTTGTCTAACCCCAGTTTCGTTGTAAATGGCGCATTACACTGTACACACGTGAGCACAGATCCAGTACAGTTCATCATATGCATAGTGATTTCCTGCACGCCCACTGTCTTATATCCACAATGCGTACATTCGTATATCATATGAGACACGGAAGCAGTTGACTCGGGATGCACCTTTAAAATGTGGTCGTCCAATGATATTTTCTTCGTAAATGACGCACCGCAGTCTGTACACGTCAGCTCAGATCCAGTACATTTTATCGAATGCGCAGTTAAACAGCGGGCGTCCGTAGTTTTATATCCACAATGTGTACATTCGTGTATCTTATGAGACACAGAAGCAGTCAACTCGCGATGCTTCTGTAACACGTGGTTGTCCAACGATCGTTTGTTTGTAAACGAAGCATCACACTTTGTACACGTGACCTTAGTTCCGGTATGTTTCATCATATGACTAGCTAAACAGTGCGCGTATGTAGTTTTATATTCACAGTATGTACATTCGTGTATCTTACGAGACACAGAAGCAGCCAACTCCGAATGTTTTTGTAAAATATGGTTGTCTAAACGTAGTTTCGCTTTAAATGAAGCGTTACAGTTTGTACACTCGAAAGTCCGAGTATTACGTTCCGCCACGTGTCCTGTAAAATTAGTCTCATGTTCTGCCATGTGCTTTGTAACATTTCTCATACTGGTCGTTTTGTATGCACAATGTATACATTCGTATACCTTACAAGGAACTGTCCCGCTAAACTCGGGATGTTTCAATAGAATGTGGTCGAAGAGCGATTGCTCTATTTTAAACGACGTATCACAATGTTCGCAGCTGTGGTAGTCAGAAAAAGCAGTGTGCGTTAACATGTGCCTCGTCAAATGACTTTTGTGAACGGTTTTGAAATCGCATAACGTGCATCCGTGTATCTTAGACGAAACGGATTCAATAGACTCAACATGCTTTCTAATCACGTGATCATCTAGTGACGTTTTGCTTTTGAACACCTCGTCGCATTTGGTACAAAAATATTCATTCGGTCGGTGCAGTTTACTTGAAACGCATCGTGATTTTTTCAAACTCGGTTCTACATAGCAGTTGTTCCGTTTGATATGGGCGATTAAACTGATTTTAGAATTATCGGTGAAGTTACAAATGTAGCAGCTAAACAACTGTTTTTCTTCTTCGACCTGCGAATGTTTTTGCTCCCTTTCCCACTGTCTATCTATTTGTGCACTGAAAAAAAAGAGATAAATCGTAATAATCGTAATTTATTGCACATGTCGAGCAAGGTTTACGAGGGTGGTTTGAAAAGTTTCCGACCTAACAAAGATTTTTATTTTTCAACATTTTTAGATGAGGGAGCAAGAAGAAGTCGCTTGGGGCTAGATCTGGTGAGTAAGGCGGACGGTCAAGCAGTTCAAACCGTAATCTTGGTGAAACAGGATTTTCTTTTTCTGCAAATGTGATCGTTTTTTCGCAAGCTGTGCCTTCAGATTGTCAAGTGATGATGCGTAGTACGCACCGGTAATGGTTGTTCCTTTTGAAGGATAATCGATTAAGATTAATTAATCGGCGTCAAAACTCGGATTTCTTGCGCCTAAAAGAAGCGTTGGAAATGTTCATTTGAACACGTTTTTGGTCTAACGTGAACAAACGCGGCACCCAACGCGCGGACTGCTTGCGCATGCCTAAATGGTGATTTAATGTGACAGGCATTCGGCTGTCGTCTATTTGGTTAAGTTTGGCGATGTTTTCGTCGGTAGTTGCAGTTTTTGGACGTCCCGAACGTTCAAAGCTCTTATTTCACTGTGGTAAATGATGGTGTTTAATGTTTAATGACTGCTCGACACTCGATTTTGTCCATTTTTGGTGAGTAACTGTCAACAGATGAACAACGAAATTCACTAGCTCTTATTTACGAGTGCTTCCATCTTCACGTTCGGCTCGGAAACTATTCGGACCACCTCCGTATTTGACTCATCAAATCGCTTCAAAAGGCGTAAACGATTCGTGACTAGGTACGTTCAGTTAGGTACGATGGTGGTGCTTTGCAACACGGAAAATTTTACCCAAATTCAAATCTTGATATTTTCGGAACAGAAAGAGATATTGAGTTGAGGTATTCGGGAGGCTCTTGACCAACTCTTTGAGAACACGTACAGGGTTCGACTGGTGTATTTCTTTTATTTATCCACTTATACACGGAGCGCAAAGAAAGTCATGTTTTTTTAGCAAAGTTTGGGGCTATGTCATATTGTCAATTTTAGATCTTGGAAATTTTTCTATGCTTCTTTTTGATCTTCGGACTATCCTAAAAAAGCGGTATCTCTGATTTTTCGAAAGTTGGCCATAACTCAAAGCATCTTCACCTTTTGAGGACATGTTGAATGCTTATACGCACGAATTTCGCACCTGTCGGGCCAGTACTGCGCATCGCAAATAGGCGCATCTTGTTGGGATCGGCCGATAAACACGGTGTTGCCAGATTTCGCGGCAAATATACAGCAATGGGAACCCTATTTTTTTGAGATGAATCTAAAGAAAAATCGAACCCACCTATCCCATCTGGAATCAGATAAGGGATCTTCATCGTATTCAAATACGTCAAGCTCTTCCTTCGGTGTCAAAGTGTCCATATATTCAAGCTTCATGTTGTTCACAGTCTGTTCTGTGCCTGGTATTTCAGATTTAACTTCTATGAATATCGGATTTTCTGTTTTCACCTCGTTAACTCCATCCCAGTGTTCATGTTGCACGCTAAAGCAATTGATTTACGGATGTAAACTATGTTATTATAGCAAACTATTAATGAGTCAGAAAGTCAACTTTGATTTATACCATTGAAACGGTTTTTTTTTTCTTTCTGCAAACATTACTTGTTTGAATGGATCACTCTTGGCTTTAAATGTTTAATTATCAAAGGCAGGAGGCCTGTGAGAGATCACAAACTGCAGGATATTTTCTAGTAATTCAGAATAACTAAACAGCAGGGCCAAATTTCCGTTGATCTGTCATTGTTGTGTGCAAATGAATTTTTGTACTCTGGTAAAAAAAATCAAAGTGTTTCGGGATTTAGTACTCAAGTACACATACAGAAATTCATGTACTTCGACTGAGTATATTACTAAAATTTTTTAGTATACCGTTACCAAAACAGCTCATAAAAATATAACCACTGATTCATGAATCGAACATACTATAAGAAATATGTAACCTACTAGGACCTGGGATTATACACTTTGTAAACCAATCAAAAAATTGATAAATCAGGCCAAATCATACCTATCATAAACTGCTACATAGTCAGGATAAGTTTCTTCCGACTTTATGCAAGGCCTATCAGCTGGTTCAAAATCAGTTTTTGGCTCCATACTGGTACTGGATTATTTGCAATATTGAAAGAACTCCAAATGCCTTAGAGAAAAGCAAGGCACCAAGGAACAGAATAATTCTCTGAAAGATTATGTACTCAAAACAGTCAAATCGGAACCTGCCGAGTTGCTAAGGAATCAAAAAGCACATACAACGGTACAAAAATACCAATAACCCATTGTCTACGGGTTTTACTGGGTTACTGTTATTAGGCAACTAGGCTTGTGATAATGATGACAAAATAAATAAACACAAGATGATAATTGTTCAGGAGTTCAGGAAAAATATAGGGAACGACTTAATGTTTAGACTCATACAGATTTCAATATTTAGTCAGGTTTCAGGTTGTATTTTATTAAAGTACCCATAGATGTCTCTAGCTAAATAGTATTGGCGACATCTACCGGAAGCCATTTGAACAATAGATGTCGCTATATGACAACCACGATGGCAACAGGATTTCCCTTTCTCGTTACGAAACGAGTCGGAGGAGATAGTCTAGTCAACATAAGCTTCAATATTCTGAAAATTCTCTGGAATCCATCACAAATGTCTAGAAGTTTTTTAAAAACATAGTTTCCTTATAGTATTATTCTCAAAATTGCTAGGTGCACTCCAATCTGAGAAAGAACGGGGGAGTTGTAGTTTTTGTCCACAGCAGAATTTTCCGCTCCAGATGTTTCTTTGCAATCAGGCCGGAAGTACGTTCTGTGCCTTCGCCTCAGCTCCAAAACATCCCTCAAATTTATTTGTTGATCAACCTGTTTTATCTGGTTAGAATATGTTAATCAATGGCCTTGGCGTAATTAAAAAAAGGAAAATGTTACAGTACGGTTACCTCAAATTCCCTTTTCTCGATACGAATATATTTATAGTCCAGTCCACACGTTTGCTGAAAGACTACTTTCAAATTTTCACCAACTCGTACCAACCTGATTTCGACTATTTTGGTAGTTCTTACTATTATGCGGAATATAAATAGGCTATATTTAATTTTAAAAACCCGACTAAAATAAAACTGAGACACGGGTCGATAGAGGTGTCAGTAACATTTTTTTAAAATTGCTTTTTTGCACTAAACTAACTTCAAGGGGCGATTCTTTCATTATGAGGTTACTTTGAACAATACATTTTCAGCTAGATTTTTCTCTATTGGAGCAGTTTTGATTGAACAAAAAATATCTACATGTCGCTATATGACAACCACTATGGCAATAGGATTTATCTTTCTCGTTACGAAACGAGTCCGAGGAAATAGTCTAGTCAACACGAGTCTCAATATTTTGAAAATTCTTCTATTCTGGAATCCATCACAAATGTCGAGAAGTTTTTTAAAAACATGGTTTCCTTATAGTATTCTCAAATTACTAGGTGCACTCCAATCTAAGAAAGAACAGGGGAGTTGTAGTTTTTGTCCACAGCAGCCTTTTCTTTTTCCGTTTCAGACTTTTCTTTGCAATCAGGCCGGAAGTACGTTCTGTTCCTTCGCCTCAGCTCCAAAACATCCCTCAAATTTATTTGTTGATCAACCTGTTTTATCTGGTTAGAATATGTTAATCAATGTCTTGGCCTTGGCGTAATTGAAAAAAGGAAAATGTTACAGTACGGTTACCTCAAATTCCCTTTTCTCGATACGAAACGACTCAGAGTGTCAGAATATATTTATAGTCCAGTCCACACGTTTGCTGAAAGACTACTTTCAAATTTTCGCCAACTCGTACCAACCTGATTTCGACTATTTTGGTAGTTCTTACTAACTACTATGCGGAATATAAATAGGCTATATTTAATTTTAAAAACCCGACTAAAATAAAACTGAGACACGGGTCGATAAAGGTGTCAGTAACATTTTTTTAAAATTGCTTTTTTGCACTAAACTAACTTCAAGGGGCGATTCTTTCATTATGAGGTTACTTTGAACAATACATTTTCAGCTAGATTTTTCTCTATTGGAGCAGTTTTGATTGAACAAAAAATATCTAGATGTCGCTATATATGACAACCACTATGGCAACAGGCTTTCCCTTTCTCGTTACGAAACGAGTCCGAGGAAATAGTCTAGTCAACACGAGTCTCAATATTTTGAAAATTCTTCTATTCTGGAATCCATCACAAATGTCGAGAAGTTTTTTAAAAACATGGTTTCCTTATAGTATTCTCAAATTACTAGGTGCACTCCAATCTAAGAAAGAACAGGGGAGTTGTAGTTTTTGTCCACAGCAGCCTTTTCTTTTTCCGTTCCAGACTTTTCTTTGCAATCAGGCCGGAAGTACGTTCTGTTCCTTCGCCTCAGCTCCAAAACATCCCTCAAATTTATTTGTTGATCAACCTGTTTTATCTGGTCAGAATATGTTAATCAATGTCTTGGCCTTGGCGTATTTAAAAAGGAAAATGTTACAGTACGGTTACCTCAAATACCCTTTTCTCGATACGAAACGACTCAGAGTGTCAGATATATTTATAGTCCAGTCTACACGTTTGTTGAAAGACTACTTTCAAATTTTCACCAACTCCTACCAACCTGATTTCAACTATTTTGGTAGTCCTTACTATTACTATGTGGAATATAAATAGGCTATATTTAAATTAAAAAACCCGACTAAAATAAAACTGAGACACGGGCCGATAAAGGTGTCAGTAACATTTTTTTAAAATTGCTTTTTTGCACTAAACTAACTTCAAGGGGTGATTCTTTCATTATGCGGTTACTTTGTTGCAAAAACAAGATAATAACCAACTAATTAAACTAAATATTTAAAATGTCAATAAAGTAAAAAGTCCCAATAAAAAATGTTTAAAGTCAATATTCTCTATCAAATGATTTTGATACTTCCTCCACTTCTTTCTTCAATTATGTGTAAGCAAAAAATTCTTACTCACAATAGCACTTTGGAAACATTAATTAACTTCATCATAAAATTTCATTCAATTCAACTGAATCAATTTTGCCAAGTCCACCAAACGTGGCAAATTATGGCCACTCTTCAGTGTTGATACAATTTTGTATCTGTGCTAGCCAAACCACATCATTAAGGCAAGCCAAATCTAGTATTTGCTTTTTGTATAACAATTCCATGTATTTTTTATTTCATGCTAAGTTTTTGGATACTAATCAAAAGACGTGTATTACTTAAATATATTTATTTCAAATAAAATATATGAAATGTACTACATAATAGAACAATATAATATAACGAAGATGTAAGGAAAAACATGTGCTAATATTAGGAAATATACAAGTCAATTACATATAAACTAGAGGCTTTCTTTCCCTCAGTTCAATTAGACTAATGATAATCGAACAGCGACAACTTTATGTTACAAACAAAACATGTGTTCGGGCAGTACTTGAAAATCCTTAGCAAATGAATATCGAGTATTTTTCTTCAATTTCTTTTTTACGTTTTCACTGCTGTTTCACCGCACATTAGCTTTGTTATTTCAATCGCAATACATACAGGGTGACTTCGAAGTTGAGTCATTTATTTTAACAGTGAGTAGATCTGATCAAAAGAAATGTTTTTTTCCTTTAACATTTTTGTGGTAAAATTAAAGTAACAAAGTTACAGCCCTTTGGAAGTTTGAGTACCGCCCTGTCTCAATAATAATATGTGCTCGTGTTTCGCAACAACGTATATAATCCGCCTTATCGGTTCATCGCATCGGAAACAAAAAAGCGAAAGAATTTGAAACGCTGATCACGATGTTTTTATTCAGTCAATGTGTCAGTCGGTAATGCGTGAGTGAATAGTGGTGTTTGCTGCGTGGCTCAAACGAAATAAAAAATGGCACATGTTTATGCGGATCGGTTTCCCAATCGAGTGCAACCAACCCCTCGTGCCTTTGTTAATGTAGTACAACAGGCTCGTGAATCAGGGGAGTTAAGACCTCACAGGGGAGGGCATGCCGGTGCTCCAAGACCTCACGATCAAATACAGGTCCACACTGAAATACTTGACCGGAGGATACTTTATAAAACAAGGTAAACATTTTTTTTAATTTTTTTTTAATTTTTACACACATATTTTGGTTGATCTTCCTTTTACAATCATTATCTGAAAATTAATGACTCAACTTCAAAGTCACCCTGTACATAATATATTGATTCTGATGAATGTGTCACCATTATAGACATAGACTTGCTAAAACGAGAAACGCAGTTTACTACCAGGGCATAATTTTATAACACTTTACCTAAGGAACTGAGATTTCTAGCATACAATGAATACAGATATGAAAAATTTGCTCTTGTCGATAGCTTTGACGAGTTCGTCAACCACAACTTCTTCACGGATTGTTATAATTTTATCTTTTATACTTTTTATTGTTACCCTTTTAACCATATACTCGTATGTGTTTGTTTATTATATGGATTGTTTGTCATTTATTTTCTTCCTGCTACTAAGCTTCTATTATACTGACTTGTACAAGCACTTTCTGTGTAGTAACACCCATAAACCATTATTATTATTATTATTACATATATTATCAGTATTTTACGTGATGTTTTTTTTGCAGTTCTTCGAATGATTTTTTATTACGTGATCATCAAAAAATTTCGATTCACAATCAAGTGTCACATTACAGCATTCGTAGAAAGTATTCTTTTCTTGCCAATGACGCATCTCACTTTGTACATGTGAACTTAGCTCCAGTATGTTTCTTCATATGCTTAACTAAATGCCCCTTATATGTAGTTTTATATTCGCAATGTGTACATTTATGTATCTTACTAGATATGGAAGCAGTGCTCTCAGGATGTTTCTGTAAAATATGGCTGCCTAATGAGGTTTTTTTCGTAAATAACTCATCACACATCGTACACGTTAAATCATTTGTATGTTTCGTAATATGCTTGACTAGATAATTCGCGTGCGTAGTTTTATATGCACAATGCGTACATTCATGTACCTTACTAGATACAGAAGCGGAGAGCTCAGGATGTTTCTGTAAAATATGGTTGTCTAATGAGGTTTTGTTCGAAAATAACGCATCGCACAGCATACAAGTGAAATTAGCTGTATGTTTCATGATATGATTAGCTAGAGATCCCACATATGTAGTTTGATATTCACAATGTGTACATTCATGTATCTTACTAGATACAGAAGCGGTGCGCTCAGGATGTTTCTGTAAAATATGGTTGTCTAATGAGACTTTGTTCGAAAATAACGCATCACATATCATACACGTGGAATCAGCTTTATGTTTCATGATATGCTCAACTAGAGCACTCGCGTATGTAGTTTTATATTCACAATGTGTGCATTTATGCAACTTACTAGACGCAGTAGCAGTAAGCTGAGGATGTGTCTGTAAAGTATGGATGTCTAATAATATTTTCCTCGTAAATGACGCATCACACATTGTACACGTGTGCTTAGCTCGAGTATGTTTTATCATATGCCTAGCTAAATGCCCCTTATGTGCAGTTTTATATCCACAGTTTGCACATTGAAGTATCTTACTAAATACAGATGACGGAAATTTAGGATGGTTTTTGGATACGTGAACGATCAAACCGCTTTTACAATGGCTCGTATCGTTACAAATATAACAGTTGAACGAATTTTTTCCTTCGATCGGTGGATTTCCTATTTCGTTTTCCAGCTTTTTCTTTATTTGTGCGCTGAAAAAAAGTTCATTATAGTTTTCGTTGTTTAATTGATGAAGATGATCGATTCAGCACGTAAAAAAGGGGTCTTCAAACATACGAAATTTAAAAATTCACGTTATTCCCTGAACACACCTCATATTTTAGAAATTCTCAAATCATTTTGGGGCATCCCGTACAGTCGGCGGATGAATGGAGACTCACCTATAGGACGCCAAATTATGTCCGTCACCTTGGTCACTCTCAGTTTTAACGTCAAATTCGTCGTGTAGCCCTAACGGCACCATATTTTCAAATTTTCCTTCCAGCTTTTCAGATTCTTGGAACTCCATTTTCATCCGGTCAACCGTATCTGCTGCCCAGTCAGCTTCAAACCCAGGCTCGAATTTCTCCTCAATTTTAATTCTAAAACGGTGATAAGCGGGGCGTTTTGATACAGGTCGGTCAATTTACAAGGCGATTCGAAAAGGTTCCACTTCCTACTTTAAACTTTAAGAGAAATTTCGCGAAGAAAATTACATGAGTAATTATTTTCTAGAACTGATGCGCAAATGTCAAATGACCATGCAGGAATGATTTTTTGTTTTCCAAGGCCAAGTGAGATACGGAAAAAATACGAGAGCCAAATAAATTGTATTTTTAGATGCTTAATCAAACAACAAATATTAAAGTTACAAAAAAAAGCAGTGGCATACATTCGCTAAGGTGCCCCCGGGACGCCAATGGACCTAATATTTTAATCTATTTAGGGCTAAATTAGCATCTTAATACACTAAATAATATTGCCAAATTTCAACAGAAGTAAATATTTTTTAAGATATTAATAAACAAATTAATTTATCACCCTGTATCTTGAAAACTCTGCATTTCCAGGCCCATGTTTATAGAAAGCTTTTTCATATTTTTCTAACAAAAAATATCTTCGACTATTTTTTGAACACCTTGCATATGAATGAGCTTAAAAAAATATTTCATGATGGCGTCGACAACCATTTTTTTTTATACTCCAACTACCACGAAGGCCTAAGGCCCAAACACCCATGGGGTACCGTGGGGCTATAGGGGGATACAGGGGAAAGGGGGACGCCACACGGACTCTACATACAGCATTCACACATTCTGGCCCCGCCTACGAGATCCGCCGGGTGGTACCTCCGCGTTCGACAGTCAGAGACCGTCTACCACCTACGGACAATCACAACATCCATAGCAAAGAGAAAAATGTCTAATAAGCTAAGATACCTATAATACTTATGCATTCATTTTATCACCCCAAATATGCCTGTGAAGAGTACCCCAACTTTGCGGACACCCTCTATATTATTTATTATAGTTTCACCTCTTATGCCATTTATTTATTGATTTGACGTAATTTGTTATAACTTTATCTTTTATACTTTTTAATGTCACCCTTTTAATCATATATAATAATAATAATAATAATGTCTTTATTTTTGGGTTAAAAGAACAAACAAAGATACTCATTTGATGAGGGAGGCGGCATTCAACACCGTTGGTCTTCCATGTAACCCCCCCAATATACAGGGTGTCCCAGAAGTCGACGTCAACCCGAAACCGGGTGATAGGCAAAGTCATAACAGCTATCAGAAAAATATTGAAAAAAATTTTATGTATGTGTTTTGAAAATTATAGGTCTTTGAAAAAGATATAGAAATTTCACACCCTACGGCAGTCTGTCAACTCCTGTTACTACAAATATTAACTTTTTTTGGATTTTATTTTTACAATGTAATGATGAATAATGCATCTTAAAACTGGTGTCTCAACCTTACTGCCAACTTTTCTCGTTCAGGAAAAATTGCCACTTAATTCCCCACCAAGTATTCCAAAGTAAAACTTTGCTCAACTTTAACTGGCTGTACTGGAAAAAAATGTACTACGAGAGTTTGGCAAGTAACCTTAAAAGTTGGCGCATTTAATCATCCATACCACATACTGCGTGTTCAACCTCTCCTGCCCCGGGATTATGAGCCCCGAGTTCCTTTTTGTCGCACAATATTAGAAAGACGCAGGAAAGATCCACAGTTCTTTGAAAAAATTTTATGGTCGGATGAGACCAGATTCAAGAAAGATGGGTACATAAACCTGCATAATTTACACGAGTGGCACGTAGCAAACCCACATTTGATGAGAGAAGATAAATCTCAATATCGCTTCAAGATAAACCATTGGACAGGAATTTTAAATGGTAAAATAATCGGTCCGTTTGAGTTCCCAGACTGCTGAAGTTTATTTGGATTTTTTGAAAAATCATGTACAACATGTATTGGTGGACGTGCCACTGAGTATTTACAGGGACATGTGGTTTCAGCATGATGGCTGCCCAGCGCACTATGCACTCTCAGTGAGAGAGTATCTCGATCAAAACTTTCCAGGCAGATGGATAAGGCGGTCTGGTACTACAATACCGTGGCCAGCCCGATCACCTGATTTGAATCCTATAGATTTTTTTACTGGGGAACTGTAAAAGAAAAAGTGTATTTCAAGCCGATTCAAAATGTAGCTGAGCTACGGCAAAGACTATTGGAAGCAGCTGAGTTTGTTAATAACCGTGGATTCGCTCGTTTAATAACCCGATCTTTTTTAAGAAGATGTCGAGCGTGTATTGCGGCTGAAGGAAAACAGTTTGAGCATTTGCTGTAAAGGTAAATCATCATCAGCAGCATTTTGACGCCCACTGTTGTGCAAACAGTTATCCTTAAGGGTCCTTGTGCGTTTTCATAATCGCTGTTTAATTAGAAAATTTTGAAAAATTTTCATCAGTTTTTTTTTCAAATAAAAATTGTGCATACGTTAACGAGTAATCTTCTAAGTGTCATACCATTTTGGAATCCTTATTAAATGCGCCAACTTTTAAGGTTACTTGCCAAACTCTCGTAGTACATTTTTTCCAGTACAGCCAGTTAAAGTTGAGCAAAGTTTTACTTACTTTACTGGTTGGGAAATAAGTGGCAATTTTTCCTGAACGAGAAAAGTTGGCAGGAAGGTTGAGACACCAGTTTGAAGATGCATTATTCATCATTACATTGTAAAAATAAAATCCAAAAAAAGTTAATATTTGTAGTAACAGGAGTTGACAGACTGCCGTAGCGTGTGCAATTTCTATATCTTTTTCAAAGACCTATAATTATCAAAACACATACGTAAAATTTTTATAAATATTCTTCTGATAGCTGTTATGACTTTGCCTATCACCCGGTTTCGGCTTGACGTCGACTTCTGGGACACCCTGTATGTGTGTGTATTTGTTATTACATGAATGTGTTGTTTGTCATTTATTTTCTTCCTGTTACTAAGATTCTATTATACTGCACTTTCTGTGTATCAGTATTTTACGTGATGTTTTTTTGCAGTTCATCGAATAATATCCGCATAATTTTTTATTACTTGATCATCAAATGTTGATTTACAATCACATTACAAATTCGTAGATATCGCAACTCGACGTACGTAAATTGGTACGATCCTGAGATTTTTTTCAATTCGCTCGCAGAAGTGGTAAGCTCAGGATTGTTTAAGTATTATTTTCTTCTCATTTTGTATATGTTAACTTGGCTCCAGTATGTTTCATCATATGTCTATCTAAATACCCCCTATATGTAGTTTTATATTCACAATGTGTACATTTATGTTTGTTACTAGATACAGAAGCATTAAGCTCAGGGTGCTTCCGTAAAATATGGTTGTCCAACCACAGTTTGTTTATAAATGACGCATCGCACTTTGTACACCTGCGCTTAGTTTTAGTATGTTTCTTCATATGCTTATCTAAATGCCCCTTATATGTAGTTTTATATTCGCAATGTGTACATTTATGTATCTTACTGGATATAGAAGCAGTACGCTCAGGATGTTTCGTTAAAATATGGTTGTGTATTGAGGTTTTGTTCGTAAATAACTCATCACACATTGTACATTTTAAATTATCTGTATGTTTCATGATATGCTTAGCTAGATAATTCGCGTGCGTAGTTTTATATTCACAATGTGTACATTCGTGTATCTTACTAGATACAGAAGCGGTGCGGTCAGGATGTTTCTGTAAAATATGGTTGTCTAATAAGGTTTTGTTCGAAAATAGCGCATCACACATCGTACACGTGAAATTAGCTCCATGTTTCATGATATGCTTCGCTAGAGAACCCGAGTATGTGGTTTTATATTCACATAGTGTACATTCGTGTATTTTATGAGATGCAGAACCAGTAAGCTGAGGATGTTTCTGTACAATATGGTTGTCTAATGATATTTTCCTCGTAAATGACGCATCACACTTTGGACACGCGACCTTAGCTCCAGTATGTTTTATCATATGCAAAGCTAAAAGACCCCTGAATGTAGATTTATATTCACAATGTGTACATGTATGTATCTGACTGGATACAGAAATAGTAAAGTCGGGATGTTTCTGCACAATGTGATTATCCAAAGACCGTTGGCTTGTAAACGACGCATCACACTTTGTACACTTTAGCTTAGTTCCAGTATGTGTGATCGTATGCCTAACTAAATGCCCCTTATGTGCAGTTTCGTATACACAATGTGTACACTGGTGTATCTTACCAGAAACGGATGAATGACATTTAGGATGCTTTTCCATAATGTGCCTGGTTTTTGAATCGCAGAACGTGCATTCATGTATTTCAGATGAAACTGACGCAACATGATTATCTAGTGATGTTTTGCTTTTGAACGCCTCGTTACATCCGATACAACAATACAGATACCGTTTCTTGGATTTTCCTAAACTAGATCCTAAATAGCAACCGTTCCTTTTGATGTGACCGATTAAACCCTTTTTACAATGGCTCGTATAGTTACAAATATAGCAGGTGAACGACTTTTTCCCTTCTTCGATCGGCGGATTTCCCAGTTCCTTTTCCCGCTCTTTCTTTATTTGTGCGCTGAAAAAAAGGGGTTCATTGTTTAATTGATGAAGAGGATCGATTCAGTTTCGTATAGCACGACACGGTCTGAAGTTTGCATTGAAGGTTATTCCTATAAATAATACTATTTTAAACGAACTTTTCAAGCAGGATTCGGAGGATATACATTGAAATTCTCCTTCGCGGACACTTCTCTTACACGAACAGTTTCTCCTGACCGGACAAAAAACAAAATAAGTAGAAACGCCGCGTCTTATTTTTTTTTCTCTATCGTGCCGCGCGCCATCTTCGCTGCGACTCGAATAAACCGGGGATTCACCGACTTTAATCTTTCGGTACAAACGCAGCCTATGCGGTGCATTTCTGCCCGGTGGGACTTCCTCGAGTTGGTCGGGGATTTACAGTTCTTATTCTTTGCGTACACGCTCTCGATTAAATTTCCATTCAGTATTGGTCTATGCGGAAAAGACAGCGACACATTGAATGTAGAAATAGCGCCAAATTACATTCCCTTAAAGAATATAAAAATCTTATTTTTGCCTCCTAATTATACATCAGCTTGTCAACCACTTGTATTTGCAAATAAAAATTACTGTTATTGTTATTATTGTTCATTGTTAGGGTGGCTCTGGAACATTTCAAGATGACGGTAGGACCCCATCTTGGAGCTTTTTTTACAAAGAGCATTAATGCCACGTGGCAGGGGTATTAGGTATCTTAAAAAGTGCTCTGCTCGTGCTGTGACTCAAGCTCTGCTCAAGCTATGTCCCAAGCTCTGATTCAAGATGTGCTCAAGCTGTCCTCAAACTGTGGCTCAAGCTATGCTAAAGCCTTGGCTCAAGCTATCCCTCAAATTGTGACTCAAGTTATGCTGTAATTAGGGCACAAACTACGCTCAAGCTATAGATCAATCTATGCACAAGCCATGACTCAAGCTATGTCTAAAGCTATGACTCAAGCTATGGCTAAAGTTATTGCTCAAACTACGCTCAAGGAATGACTCAAGCTACCCTCAAGGTATGGTTTAAGCTATGCTGAAGCTAGGGATCAACCTATGTTCAAGCTATGCTAAAGCCTTGGCTCTAGATATCCCTAAAATTGTGACTCAAGTTGTGCTGAAATTATGGCTGAAACTATGCTCAAGCTATGGATCAATCTATGCATAAGCCATGACTCAAGCTATGACTAAAGCTATGACTGAAGCCATGGCTCAAGTTATTGCTCAAGGTATGATTTAAGCCATGCTGAAACTATTTATCAAGCTACGGTTCAAACTATGCTCAAGCTACGCCCAAGCCATGCCTTAAGCTATGACTCAAGTTATTGCTCAAACTACGCTCAAGCTATGCTCAAGGTATGGTTTAAGCTATAGCTCAAGCTATGCTAAAGCCTTGACTCAAGATATCCCTAAAATTGTGACTCAAATTATGCTGAAATTATGGCTGAAACTATGCTCAAGCTATGGATCAATCTATGCATAAGCCATGACTCAAGCTATGACTAAAGCTATGACTGAAGCCATGGCTCAAGTTATTGCTCAAGGTATGATTTAAGCTATGCTGAAACTGTGAATCAAGCTATGATCAAGCTACGATTCAAACTATGATCAAGCTACGGTTCAAACTATGCCAAGCTACGCCCAAGCCATGCCTTAAGCTATGACTCAAGTTATTGCTCAAACTACGCTCAAGCTATGCTCAAGGTATGGTTTAAGCTATAGCTCAAGCTATGCTAAAGCCTTGACTCAAGATATCCCTAAAATTGTGACTCAAATTATGCTGAAATTATGGCTGAAACTATGCTCAAGCTATGGATCAATCTATGCATAAGCCATGACTCAAGCTATGACTAAAGCTATGACTGAAGCCATGGCTCAAGTTATTGCTCAAGGTATGATTTAAGCTATGCTGAAACTGTGAATCAAGCTATGATCAAGCTACGGTTCAAACTATGCTCAAGCTACGCCCAAGCCATGCCTTAAGCTATGACTCAAGTTATTGCTCAAACTACGCTCAAGCTATGCTCAAGGTATGGTTTAAGCTATAGCTCAAGCTATGCCAAAGCCTTGACTCAAGATATCCCTAAAATTGTGACTCAAGTTGTGCTGAAATTATGGCTGAAACTACGCTCAAGCTATGCTCAAGGTATGGTTTAAGCTATAGCTCAAGCTATGCTAAAGCCTTGGCTCAAGATATCCCTAAAATTGACTCATGTTATGCTGTAATTATGGCACAAACTATGCTCAAGCTATAGATCAATCTATGCCAAAGCCATGACTCAAGACATGGATCAAGTTATTGCTCAAACTACACTCAAGGTATGACTGAAGCTATCCTCAAGGTATGGTTTAAGCTATGCTATACAGCCTTGGCTCAAGTTGTCCTTAAAACCGTGACTCAAGCTATGCTGAAATTATGGCTCAAACTATGCCCAAGCCATAACTCAAGCTATGGCTCAAACTACGTTCAATGTATGACTCAAGGTATGGTTTAAGCTATGCTGAAGCTATGGATCAAGCTATGCTAACGCAATGGTTTAAGCTATGGCTCAAACTACGATTCAAGCTATACCTCAAGCTATGCTCATGGTATGCTCAAACTAGAAAGTACAGATAAATAGTAAAAAAACAACGAAAACAGTTGAAAATTGTATCATACTTCAGGAGCGTGTATGCCTACATAAAAAAGTTTTTGACAATCGGAGTCTCCACACCTACGAAATTTAAAAATTCACGTTGTTTCCTGAACCAATCTCGTATACCAGAAATACACATATCATTTTGGGGCTTCCCCTAAAGTTGGCGGATTTAAGGAGCTCACCTATCGAACGCCGAATCCTGCCCGTCACCTTCGTCACTCTCGGTTTTGATGTCAAATTCGTCGTGTAGCGCCGACGCGTTCAGATTTTCAAAATTTGTGCTGCTTAAATCTGGTTTTTCTTCCAGATTTTCAGATTCTTGGAACTCCATTTTCATCTGGTCAACTGTATCTGCTGCCGAGTCAGCTTCAAACCCAGGCTCGAATTTCTCTTCAACTTTAATTCTAAAACGGTGATAAGTTTTAATACAGCTCGGTCAATTTACAAAGGGATTCAAGAAGGTTCCACATCCCACTTATTTTTTGAATGGGGTGATGAAGTTCAAGCATGAATACTATATTTTAGATTTTTTTAACTATATTAATTTATCCGAAGCATAGATTAGCGTTATTTGAAAAAGGATCTCATTATAATTGTTTAAAACTTTTTAACCATTTACCAGCAGTTGTGAAAAAGATTGTAAAACTAAGTGCATTTAAAAAGATATATAAAATATCGCTTAGGCCCGTATCGTCAGTCGTCCCTACAATTGTAGGGTGCCTTTATGGCCTCCTTGATTGTCATAGTTTTCTACTTCTCCGTGTCAGAACTCTATTTTGAGGTTATGTCACAAACATCTATTTGCATAATTGTGGGTCACCTTAGCGAATGTTATTGGCAAAAAAAGAACACGTTTTTGTAATAAAAAACAAAACAAAATTAGTCCCACCTATCCCATGTGGAATCCTCATATTCATATTTGATGTCAATCTCTTCATTTAGCATCAAAGAGTCCATATTTTCTAACTTTATGTTGTCCACAGACGGTTCTGCATCCAGCATTTCGGATTTAACTACAACTTCTAACGGATTCTCCATTTTCACCTGGTTACCACTATCCCCGTGTTCATGTTTGACGCTAAAATAACATTACTATAACTGTCGAGCACCACCTCTAGGCCCCAGCATTATCACTTCTTTGAAGGGATTTCCTTCTATGCCATTCATATGAGAATATAAAATATTAGGAATAATTATAAAAGAGGTTGAAAGGTGATCTGTCTTGGGAGGCTGATGTCACATATAAGAATAAACAATTTTCTTTAAAAGGAAACTGGAATCTGTTTTTATTACTTGATGAAATGGCTGTGATGATTGAAATTGTATGTGAACATCCAAATGAAGCATCAGGCTGGGCATCTCCTTGGAGAACATGTTAAATAGTGGTATAGCTATAAAAGAAGTGCTGAGGAACTCTGCTATTTTGTAAGCTCCTGAATCTGCCCTTGTATAGTACAGGGACACCTCATTGTAGCATACAATGAGAAAACTATTTGAAAGTTTCTTGATGTGCTACCCTATGATCACAACAACTATTATCACATTTCTTACCTATGCAATGTGGAATATGTTTCGGTGGAACTCATACTTCTCTTGCTATCTGGTTCCTCTACAGGATTTATATCTGTCGAATGTTCAGTCTCCATGTCTAGGATACATAAAGAATAAAATAATTCTATCGCAGACCTCAAGAAACTCGGCGAGTTGTTAAATAGTCAAAAATCACATTTAAAAACAACGCTCAACCTGTAATCAGTCCCTTGATTTGTGATTTCGGTTGATGAAAAATAGAAGTAGTATCTATTTTTTATACAGATTTCAACATTCAAGTTTATACAAACTGCTGAATAAGTAATTGATAGCGTTTAGCTAGATTGTTCTATTTATTAAATAAAAAATACTGAAATGTCACTTCAAGGTTACTTAAGATTATCTTATCTCGATACGTAACGAGTCGGAGCAAATAATCCAATCAACAGCAACTAGGATATTTTAAAAATACACCTGACCAAAAGTATATAAAAAAACTTTGGAGAAACTAAACCAATGAATAGAAAATGAATGCAGAGGAATCGAAGAAAGCGGATGTCTTCAAAATGTTCTAAACGCATTTCTGCAATATCTAGCTTATTGCCAAGAAGTATATGGACGGCAGTTTATACATTTCATATGATATTCATCTTGTTACGAAGTTTAAATCAACAACTAGGTTTTATCGTGTTTTCTTTGTTATAATTATTCTCTTGTTCCCTTGCAATATCGAATACAACAATTTAATCAATATTAGAATTTCTATCCTTTGGTTTCAGTTAAATAAATCATATTAATATTAACTCTACTAACAAAACTCAATGGACTTTTCAACGTCATAAATGACAGGTTAATTACGTTCCATACCACTCATTGAAAAAATACCTTTTATTATTGTTTCGAAATCTATGAGGTCTACGTCAAAAAAAAGTATTTAGAATTTCTCGCATAAGAAAAAAAAAGTTTTCCGAAAAACTGTAGATTTTGGCAACATCGCGGATTTCATCAACGGATCCGCCTACCACCGACTCCTTTATGGGAGGGATTAGGAAATGGGAGGTATCATAGTACCGTATCTCAAAGAAAAATCAATTAATATCAGTAATAATAATAGCATACAATAAAACAGAATGGATTTATTTAGCTTTAAGCTACTTCAAACAATAATAAATATTTACAAAAAATGTGTTAAATAATTTACAAAGTGGTCTTCACATCAAACCAAAATATTCTTTTCGAAGTCACTTTTTGAAAATTTTAGCAATTGATGATGATTATAGGAACTTTTGTCTAAAATTACCTATATAAATGCATGACTACGACTGTGACCTCAACAAACTCGGCGAGTTGTCAAATAGTCAAAAATCACATTTAAAAACAACGCTCAACCTGAAATCAGTCCCTTGATTTGTGATTTCTGTTGATGAAAAATAGAAGTAGTACCTACTCTTTATACAGATTTCAACATTCAGTTTATACAAACTGCAGAATAATTAATTGTATACCTTTTATCTAGATTTCTCTCTATTTATTAAATAAAAATACTCAGATGTCACTTCAAGGTAACTTAAGATTATCTTATCTCGATACGTAACGAGTCGGAGCAAATAATCCAATCGACAGGATATTTAAAAAATTCACTCGAACAAAAGTGTATAACAAAAATAAACCATTTGATTTGGAGGAACTAAACCAATGAATAGAAAATGAATGCAGAGGAATCGAGGAAAGCGGATGTCTTCAAAATGTTCTAAAAAATATCTTGCTTATTGCTAAGAAGTATATGGACGGCAGTTTATACATTTCATATGATATTCATCTTGTTTCGAAGTTTAAATCAACAACTAGGTTTTATCGTTTTCTTTGTTATAATTATTCTCTTGTTCCCTTGCAATATCGAATACACCAATTTAATCAATATTAGAATTTCTATCCTCATGGTTTTAGTTAAATTATATTCTTATAAACTCTACTAACAAAAAAGTCAATGGACTTTTCAATGTCAGAAATGACAGGTTAATTACGTTCCATACCACTCATTGAAAAAAATACCTTTTATTATTGTTTCGAAATCTATGAGGTCTACGTCAAAAAAAAAGTATTTAGAATTTCTCGCATAAGAAAAACAAAAGTATTCCGAAAAACTGTAGATTTTGACAACATCGCGGATTTCATCAACGGATCCGCCTACCACCGACTCCTTTATGGGAGGGATTAGGATATGGGAGGTAAGATAGTAGCGTATCTCAAAGAAAAATCAATCAATATCAGTAATAATAATAGCATACAATAAAACAGAATGGATTTATTTAGCTTTAAGCTACTTCAAACAACAATAACAAATATTTACAACAAATATGTTAAATTTACAAAGTAGTCTTCACATCAAACCAAAATAGTCTTTTCGAAGTCTCGTTTTGAAAATTTTAGCATTTGATGATGATTATAGGAACTTTTGTCTAAAATTATTCAAAGAATCGTCTATTGAATTTATGGTACATACCTAATTAACACCCTGTATGATGACTACGACTGTGTTTGTTTTCTCGCATGTTTCGTAAATTTATATTTTTGCGTTGTTTTATATTCACAGTGTGTACATTCATGTATCTTATGAGACACAGAAGCAATAAAATGAGGATCGGGATGTTTCTGCAAAACATGGTTGTCTAAAAATGGTTTGCTTTTAAATGACGCATCACACTTCGTACACGTGAACTTAGCTCCAGTATGTTTCATCATATGCACAGCTAAGCGATTGGCGTGTGTAGTTTTAAATTCGCACCGTGTACATTCGCGTATTTTATGAGATACAGAACTAGCAAACTCGGGATGTTTCTGCAAAATGTGGTTGTCTAACGATTCTTTGCGTTTAAACGTCGCATGACACTTTGCACACGTGAGCTTAGTTGCAGTATGTTCCATCATATGCTCAGCTAGATCTCTCGCGCGTGTAGTTTTATATTCGCAATGTGTACATTTGTGTACTTTATGAGTCACAGAAGCGGTTATCTCAGGATGCTTCTGTAAAATGTGGTTGTCTAAAGAATGTTTGCTTACAAATGACGCATCACACTTTGTACACGTCAGCTTAGCTCCAGTATGTTTCATCATATGACTGGAAAAGTAGCGAGCGTGTGTGGTTTTATATTCACAATGTGTACATTCATGTATCTTAGTAGACACAGAAGCAGTAAACTCGGGATGCTTTTGTGAAAAATGGTTAGTCAACGATATTTTGCTTGTAAATGACGCATCACACATTGTACACGTCAGCTTAGCTCCAGTATGTTTCATCATATGCTTAGCGAAATGCTGCCCGTGTGTAGTTTTATATTCACATTGTGCACATTCGTGTATCCTATGAGATACAGAAGCGCTCAACTCTGGATGCTGCCGTAAAATGTGGTTGTGTAGTGATATTTTCTTCACAAACGAAGCATTGCACTTCGTACATGTGAGCTTAGCTCCAGTGTGCCTCATCATATGCATAGTTAAGTGATGCACGTACGTTGTCTTATATTCACAATCTTTACATTCATGTATCTTAAAAGACAGAGACGCAGTCAGCTCGGGATGTTCCTGCAAAATGTGATTATCTAATGATTGTTTCCTTATAAATGACGCATCACACTTTGTACACGTTAGCTTAGCTCCAGTGTGTCTCGTCATATGCATAGTTAAGTGATGCACGTACGTTGTCTTATATTCGCAATATTTACATTCATGTATCTTGAAAGACCGTGAAGCTGCCAACTCAGGATGTTTCTGCAAAATGTGGTTGTCTAATGACTGTTTCTTCATGAAGGATGCATCACACTTTGTACACGTTAGCTTGGTACCAGTATGCGTTATGGTATGCCTAGCTAAATGTTCCGTAGATGTAGTTTTATATTCACAATGTGTACACGTGTGTATTTTATGAGTCACACAAGCAGTAAGCTCCGGATGCTTCTTTAAAATATGGTTGTCTAATGAGATTTTGTTTATGAATAAGGCATCACACATCGTACACGTTAGCTTAGTATGTGTTATGACATGCCTAGCTAAATGATCCGTAGATATAGTTTTATATTTACAATGCGTGCATTCAAAGGACTTTCGAGTATTATGTCTTTCCAAGTGGCTTATAAAATGACTCCTATTGGCTGTTTTGAATGCACAATGCATACACTCATGTATCTTATTAGAAACTGTCCCGCTAAACTCGGGATGTTTCTTTAGAATATGGTCAGAGAGCGATATCTTTTTTTTAAAAGACATGTTACAATGTTCGCAACTCCGAAGGCCAGAAACTTTCGCATTAGGATGTCTTAACATATGCCTAGTTAAATCCTTTTTACGGAGGCTCGAATAGTTACAAACATAGCAGCTGAACGTCATTTTTGCTTCTTTGATCGGCGGATTTCGTTGTTCCTGTTCCCACTCTTTCTTTATTTGTACGCTGAAAAAAAGTTTTATTATACATTTCGTTTTTTTTTTTGTTAGATATTGCAAATCCATTTACAGTTTATTGGCCTAAAAAAATTCTACAATGGATGAAAATTTCGATTCAAGCCATCGAAACACAACGTACTAACATAACCTCAAACACTTTTTTCTCTAGCGCGCTTCTATTGTGTAGTCGAAACTTCAAACTCCGTTTTCACATAATGACGTCAATTAGACCGACATAATGACGTCATTTCTACAGTATATTCAGATAAGAGATAGACCGGATGTAAACAAAAGGTTCGGGTGATTTTCACGCTAACGCCGCCGTCTCGACGTAAAACAGGAGCCCTCATTGGTCAATTCGTAATTAAATGCCTATGCCGAGCGGCAGAGCAGTCGTATCAAGGCAGAGTCACATTCAGGTTCAGACGTGTTACGTATGTCGTGTGCATCATTGCAATTTGATATTTCTTTGGACGTTTTCGTTTGTTATCTTATTAAGTTGTTGAGTTTGTCGTTGTTATTGTTATACCTTGTTATTGTTATCAACTGCTTGCGCAAAATGCCCAGCAGTACAGATACTGCCGATGAAGTTGTAAACTCCTGTAGTCCACCTAGGAAACGCTCTAAAAAAAGACACCTGAGTGCAGAAATGAAAGAGGTCATTTTGAATATATATAAGATCGAGCGCGAGGAGAACGAGGCATCAACCATCAAAGAAATTGTTGTGAAGGTTTCTCATAAAGTTGGGGTGTGTCGCGCATCAGTGTTTAATGTGTTAAGACAATACAAAAAAAATCACACCTTTTCTGAGCCAATGACCAGTAAACATCGCAAAAGTATTGTTAAATCATTGGATGAAGCTGATAAGCATGCGATTAGGAGAAAGTGCATGAATTCTTCTTTAGG